GAGGGGCATGTATGTGACAGCTCATAGGAATAGAAAAATGTTCTTAATAAGCAAGCAATAATTAAGTTGAGAAATTAAATTTCAGAAATTAATCCCAATATTGTGTTCCTGCTGAAACAAACAAACAAACAAAACAAAAGCAAAAACAGAACAGCAAACTGTTAGGAATAAATCCAGCACCAGGAAATAAAGGATGGGAAACTGTCAAAAAGTTCATGGAAATAACGGAAAAATAAGTTGATTTTGGAGTACAGCATTTTTGAAATCTTTCTAAAGCTTTTTTAAAGATCAAGCATTTAAAAAGAAAAGATTAAGCATTTCTCTATTAACTTAAAAAAATACATATTTTTACTTGGAAGGCAGAGAAATAGGGAAAGGCGAGACAGAGAAAGACATCCTTCTATCCGCTGGCTCACTCCTCAAATGGCTGCAACAGCAGTAGCTGGGCCAGTCTGAAGCCAGGAGCCAGGAGCCCCTTTTAGGTCCCACCTGGTACAGGGGCCCAAGGACCTCAAAGACCCTAGGCTCCCCTCTGCTGCTTTCGCAGGCCACCAGCAGGCAGCTGGATCAGAAGTAAAGCTGCCAGGACCTGAACCGGCACCCGTAGGTGGAGGCTTAGCTGGCTACACCATGACACTGGGCCTTCTCCACAAACTTTTTGAAAACCCCTTTATATATATATATTACAGAGGCCAAAAAGGAAACTAAAGAAAACAAACAAATAATGCTGAAGGTCCTAGGAGAGAGCAATCTCAGAATGAATGTCAGTCCTTCAAAAGCCACTAACACCCAAAGGAACTCAGACAAAAACAAAGCCCCCAAGATAAAGCAGAACACAGCCCGGCATTATAGGGGTTCAATATTTGAAACTAGAATTATGAATCCAGGAGCCCAAACAAGTTTTTATCCAAGTATCTTTGGCGGAAAGGTAACATGTTCAAGTTTTTTAAAAAATCACTTTGGAATGCTGAACTCCCGTAGCTCATTCTCAAGAATCTGAGGAATGATAAGACGGAGAAGGCACTGAGTGTGGGATTCCTCATGGCGTCTTTTCAGCAGAGACTCAGAGAGGTCAGCTCAGGAGCTCACACACCAACTGGTTACGTGTGAAATATGAGGTGACAGCTTTCAGAAGTAGTGATGGGAATCAGGAAAAAAAACAAAGCAAAATGGCAGATGTGGCCCTTCAATCTCTCCCTCCGTTCTGGAAAGACTGCATCAGCTCTACGAGTTTCGCCCCTGGGTCCCCTGTGGACCATGCTTGCCTCCGAGCAGGAGACCCACGTCAGGCAAAATGGTAGGACCTAAGCTGGGGTGCTCTGAGCTGAGTGGAGGGACCGGGTGAGGCAGGGGGCAAGGGGAGGAGCCCACAAACAAGGCAGCTCTGGTCTGCTCAGGGAAGAAAGAAGACAGAAGCAAAATTTTTTGTGCCATCGCTGTCCCAGGCAAACATAAGCCAATCAATAAAACACAGAGGAGAGAGGGACCCGGCCGAGATTGTCCAAAAGCTCCTGGAAAAAAAGGCTGTTATGCAAAAATCACAGAGATTCCAAAACTTTTTTTGCACCACTAGAGGTTAACCTTTAATTCCATTTTTCCATTAACTGAAGTCTCAGCAAATAGAAAAGAAGTACCTTCAAGATGGATGTTAAGGATGAGAAGCAATGAGTTGCTGTGAACCCTTGAGGTGATAGCTTGGAGAGAAGCCATTGAAGAGCAGAATGTCCCTTTGAGGGGCAGACTGGGGGGATAGCTGTGGTAGGGGTAGAGTCCGTAGTAACATTTGGTGCAAGTTAAGACAACACAGCTCTCCAGGCTTCCATTGGGTTGAGCAGGCTGGATTCCCTCTCTGACACTGTTCTGGAAGGACACTCCAGGCAGTTCGTGCAGCTGACCCAAGATGGCCAGAGGCCTCCATCACTGATTAGCTCTTTTTTCTTTTTTTAAACTTTGTTTTGTTTATTTCCTTATTTGGAAAGGTGTATTTTTATGGAGAGAGGAGAGGCAAAGAGAGAGAGAGATCTTCCATTTGCTGGTTCACTTCCCCAAATGGCCACAGCTGCCGGAGTTGAGTCGATCAGAAGTCAGGAGCCAGGAGCTTCTTCTGGATCTCTCTTGTGGGTGCAGGGACCACAGGTCTTCGGCCAACTTTGGCTACTTTCCCAGACCATAAGCAGGGAGTTGGATGGGAAGTAGAGCAGCCAGACACAAACGGGTGTGTCTATATGGGATGCCAGCAGCTCGCAGGCAGAGGGTCAGCCAATCGAGCCATAACGCCAGCCTCAAGTGAGGATTAGCTCTTAAGTGTTAATGCCCTAACCAAAATGCTGGTAACTGATGAATAAATAAATAAATATGCATGTGAGAGAACAAAACCTAACCTATACAGCCCACTTTATAAGCCCACCTTCACTGCAGGTAGGGTGTGGCAGCTGGGACTGAAGGTGGCAAGATGGGAGAGGCAATAGAGGCAAGAGGTAGGGAAGGACGGGACTCTGAGAGCAGGCTCAGAAAGGACAGCCCAAGGGACTTCCAAGACCACAGGATGAAGATTTAGAGCCAAGTTTGACCAAATACAGAATTTGCAGGGACACTGATACTGGGAGTTTCTTCAGCCTCGGGGACCTGTGACGGCAGACATCTTTGCGTGTAGCTCCTGTTCCTCGGCCTTGCCTAGATTCCTGCTGAACTGTTTCTTGCTTGTTTTGGCTTGTTTATCCTTTTTGTGGATTTTGTTTGTTTTATTTGGTGGAGCACTGAGCCTTTGGCTCTGATGTAAATTAAAAATATGCTATCTCATTTTTTTTTTAAAGATTTATTTTTATTATTTTTTCATTGGAAAGGCGGATATACAGAGAGGAGGAGAGACAGAGAGGAAGATCTTCCGTCCGATGATTCACTCCCCAAGTGAGCGCAACGGGCCGATACTATGCCAATCCGAAGCCAGGAGCCTCTTCCGGGTCTCCCACGCGGGTGCAGGGTCCCAAAGCTTTGGGCCGTCCTCGACTGCTTTCCCAGGCCACAAGCAGGGAGCTGGAAGGGAAGCGGGGCTGCCGGGATTAGAACCGGCGCCCATATGGGATCCCGGGCGTGCAAGGTGAGGACCTTTAACCACTTGCGCCACTGCGCCGGGCCCGCTATCTCATTTTTTAAAAAAAAGTTAATCCGACTTCTGTTGAAGAGATCGAGGCATGGGGTGGGAAGACGGCTGCTACAAAGGACATTGGAGGAGGCTAGGGAAGTGAGGCACGTGAGACTCAGGGTGGGTCCGAGAGAGGCCAGGGGAAGCAGGGAGCTGAAGCCAGCATCTGACTTCTGGTTACAACACTAAACTCACCCGGTGTGTTTTGAAAGCACTCGCGGTCTCAGGGAGCAACATGTTCCGAGATACGATCGAATGTGAGATGATTCAGTCCATTGCTGTGATGGAAATCAGGCAACAAAACTCCGAAAGGACACTTAATAATGCAGAATCAAGATGAAGGGCAAGACAATGGCATCACTTAGTTGGCACATTCTTCAACGTGTCATGGCCGAGAAGTCTGAGAATAGAGGTCTACTCACTGTAGGACCCCAGAAAAGTGTGCAGATGTTTTCAAGGATATTATGAATATTTTTGTGTGTGTAAGAAGAGAAGAGGGGTCCGACATGGTAGCCTAGCAGCTAAAGTCCTTGCCTTGCATCTACGGGAATCCCATATAGGCACCATTTCATGTTCCGGCTGCTCCACTTCCCTTTTAGCTCCCTGTCTGTGGCCTGGGGAAGCAGTAGAGGACAACCCAAAGCCTGGGGACCCTGAACCCACATGGGAGACCCGGATGATACTCCTGGCTCCTGGATTCAGATCGGTGCAGCTCTGGTCGTTGTGGCCACTTGGAGAGTAAACCATTGGATAGAAGATCTTTCTGTCTCTCCTTCTCTCTGTAAAATCTGACTTTACAATACAAATAAATAAAATTTTAAAGGGAAGATAAGAATAAAAATGATTATACTTCACTCTCCTCAAGGAGTCACAAGGAATAAATAGACTCTGTACATAGAAAAGGTTTTATATAAAATTGATCTTCAGGGAAAATAGAAACAAGACTGTAACAAGAATACAAGATTAGTTATCTTGTGCCCTCCACCCCCCCTCCAAAAAGAGAGAAAAGAAAGAAAAAAGCTGGTATTTTATTAACTACCAATTGGCAACGTCCTATGTTCAGTGCTTAGGCACAGTGCCATATGCCTTGAAAACATTTTCATTTAATCTCCACAACCATCTTGCAACTTGTTCAGCATTTTCTGAATTGCTTAAATGAGGCTCGGAGCGGATAGGTCTTTTTTCTTCAGAGATGAACTTCTCTCTCTTGGACTAAGGATGCAAGTAAGGGTTTGCGCCCTCATTTCCTAATGATCCTTTATAAAACACCGACTCCCACGAACAGCAGCAAAATAAACAGACATCATCTTGGAATTCCACAAGTGAGAAGTGTTTTGTAAGAAACGTTGCAGAAATTCCGGTGGGGAAATCTGAACAGCCTTCACTGGACCAGGAGGCACCGAAGACCCTTCACGTCTATTCCTCCCCAGCGTCCCAGGCTTTGGAAATATTTCTAGGGGGGAAAAAATGATAAGAGGATTTCACCTTATCAGTTAAAAAAAAAAAACTGAGCTCACTGATTTTCAAGCTGAATCAAATGTTATTGCTTTGGGGAAATCTTTTCATAAACTGAAACAAAAGTTCTTGCTTCTTTAGCCAAAGGAGCTGTGTCCAGTGATATTACTGTCCCCAAACACAATCAAGGTCCCTGAATCCTGCTTCTTTTGATCTCAAAAGGTGGTAACATTCAGTTCAGAGCTCATTCATCTGTAAATTGCATCATATTCTCTCTGAGTTATTTAAGAAACAAACTCTGTTTGGTTTCAGGCATTTTAACCTGCTAAAGGCAAGAAGAAGGGTTCGCGACGTAGTTCCGAAGGGTTTCCACTTGCCACCGCCACCCCCGAGACAGAGCAAAATGATCGAGCCCGTTGGGAATCAGTACGTCGTGGCCAGGCCAGTGTATTCCTCAAATGGTTTTGCGGAAGAACATAAAAGGAAGGAAAGACGTCATAAGACAGTTCTGGATCATCTCAAATTGTGCTGTAGGTAAGATACATTTTTTTTAAGATAGTAGGAATTTAAGAAGAGCTTTCTCTTACATTTTCCTAGCTTGCAATTGCTCCTTCCTGGCTGCCGTCCATAACCTCAGGAACCTTTTTATCTTCAGCTTCCAAGCCTCCAGCTCTCAGGCCAAGCTGGAAAAAAGGCAGTGTTAAGTATGAACACCCCATCCTGGCGATCACAGAGCCTCTCTAAGTCCAATATCCTACAGTTAGAAACACAGGCAAGATCTCAACCACACTGTTGCTCAAGGGGAAAAATATATATGTATTTATAAAGAGAAGTCCCTTAATAGTGACCAGGAATGGGCAGGTGAAGTGTGTAAGAGGTGAATGTCAATGAAATTGCTGGTTGAATCTTCACTAATGTTCCACCTGCAGTTAGGTGCTGGACTGAAGTTCGGTCTTCATGGCCTGACCTGTGTCTTTCTGTGTTTGCAGATGTTCCTCCAAAAAGGCCAAGAAGATTCTCCTCTCTTTTCTACCCATAGCATCTTGGTTACCAGGGTACCGGCTGAAAGAATGGCTCCTCAGTGACATAGTTTCTGGGATCAGCACAGGGCTGGTGGCTGTCTTGCAAGGTAACTTTTTTTTTTAAAGATAGAATTTGCTTACTGTAAAATTCACCATGTATTGTGTACAACTGGGTCGTTTTTAGTACATCTGCTTGGTGACACAGCTTCACCATGGAGTCCAGGACATGTTCACCACCTCCCAGGAACCCCCTTCCCGTTACCAGTCACTTCACATTCCCGTATCCACCCACTCACCCTACAATGCCTTGTGTCTCTATGGATACTTGGGATATTTTACACAAGTGGAAGTATAACTCATGTGACTCTTTATGTTTGATTTCTTTCACTTAGCATAGCATTTCCAAGGTGTGTCTGTATTATAGCTGGATCAGTCCCTCATTCTGTTTTATGGACATGTAAGAGTTTATTATCTATATGCAGTGTCAGGATACACTTAAGTAGCAGGATGGACTTGTAATGATATAGGGGAAATGTGGGGGAGTGTAGGAGGAATGGAGGAGGGGCGTGGAAGGAGAAATCCCTGTGACAATGGAACTGTATGAGACAGAGAGAGAGAACTTAGAGTCGATTGGTCTATTGGCGTGGATAGACCACTTGTTGCTCATCCATTCATCAGTCGATGGACATGTGAGGTGTTTTCACTTTGAGGCTCTGATAGGCCGTGCTATGATGAGCTTCTATGTAACTTTTGTGTAAATATGTTTTCACTTTCTTGGGTATATACCTAGACGTGGTGGGTCATATGGTAGTTCCGTTTCGTCACCTGCAGGAATGCCAGATTATTTGCTAAAGCAGCTGCACCATGTTACAGTCCCACTAACAATGTGTGAGCATTTAAATTTCTCAATTTAATAAGTTATCAGTAAATTCCTCAACACTTGTTATGATTTCTCTCTTTTTATGTATCTGAGTTACCCTAGCGGATGTCCAATGGCACCTCTCCGTGGGTTTGATTTGTAGTTCTCTAATGACTAATGATATCGAACATCCTTTTGTGTACTTGTTGGTTGGTTGCATATCTTTGCGGAAAATGTTTATCCCACATCCCTGACTCTCTTTTCAGTTTTATCATTTGTCTTTTTATTGTGGTGTTACAAAGAATTATTTCTTTATTCTGGTTACTAGGTTCTGATCCAACACACAACTTGTAAATAACTGCTTACTTCCTATAGGTTGTTGTTTAACTATCCTGCTAATATCCTTTGACTGTGATGTATTTTGAGTCAAAAAGGCACAATGTTAAATACTAGAAAAACCTAAGGAGAACTAGCACAAAATAAAACCCTTGCTGCGGTGTCTTTACAGGTTTGGCGTTTGCGCTGCTGGTCAATATCCCCCCAGCCTATGGGCTTTATGCGGCATTTTTCCCAGCCATAGTCTACTTTTTCTTTGGTACTTCTAAACACATATCTGTGGGTAAGTTCATCCCTGGGCCGATCCGTGGTTCACATTTGCTTTTCTTCATTAATTCTTTTAACCACACATTGTATCAATTCCAAGTTGTACAAAATCCAAGAGAAGAGTCATAGTTTTTTTTAAGTTTTTTTTTTTTAATTGGAAAGTCATATTTACAGAGAGGAGAGACGGAGAGAAAGATCTTCCACCTGCTGGTTCATTCCCCCGCAAATAGCCGCAACAGCCATCGGAGCTGAGCTGATCTGAAGCCAGGAGCCAGGATCTCCTTCTGGGTCTCCCACATGTGTGCAGGGTCCCAAGGCCTCGGGCCATCTTCTATTGCTTTCCCAGGCCACAAACAGGGGGCTGAAAGGGAAGTGGAGCAGCCGGGACATGAGCGGCACCCATATGGGATCCCAGTGGAGACAAAGTGAGGACGTCAGCCATTAGGCTATCACACTGGGCCGGAGAAGAGCCATAGTTTCTGGCTGGAATCAGGACTGGAGCTTGGAAAGAAAGGCAGGCTTCTCAGTTGCTAGTCTACAGTTGAAAGCCAGCTGTCAGGAGGCACCTACCAACCACAGTCCACCCTCTGTTCATCAGGTCCGTTTCCGGTTCTGAGCATGATGGTGGGTGCAGCAGTAATGAGACTAGCCCCAGACGGTCCAGATGGCTCACCCAACAACGGCACAGACGACACACTCACGCAGAAGAGAATAACGGCGGCTGCGTCAGTCACATTCCTTGCTGGAATCATCCAGGTAAGCACACATTTTTCTTTTTTTTTTTTTTTTTTTCACAACTGTTGTTCCTTCTCTTTGGGTGGTGCCCCTCCTCCAGAGGCCCTCAAGACAATACTTTAGGAAGCATCATGGCTGATAGCCAAAGGTGGTGGGGTAGATAGGCATTGCAAAACCAAGTGAATGTGAATCTACACAGGAGTCAAAATGGGAATAAGGTGGCCCAAGTGGAGAAGGGTGAAATGTTCAATAAACACAAACCTTTAGATGTTTGTTCAATCACATCTAAAGGTGAGTGATAGCAACACGAATGACTAGAATCTTTTTCCAACTCCTCAGTGATCGTACTCTAGATGGAAGGAATGGGCTTTGCACTTCCAACTGGCTGAAGCAAAGGAGGAGAGTGGGGAGAGCAGGAGAGCCCTGTGGGAGGAACTAAAACCTCACTCCCAAGCCACACCTCCACATTGTGGGTTGACTGGGCAAAACGGGGCAGTCTTTTCATAACATCACCTGTGTTTAAGATCAGTGCTGTTACTGATTGAAACCATCTCTTAAAGAAACAAAAAGTCAATCTCTTCAAGGATGTAAGAGTGGTCCTATCGGTAAGCAATGTGGCTTATTGATTCTAATAAATTTCTAAACCCAAGCACAGAAATGGAAATCAACTGAACTTTCTTATCCACAATTCTGGTTGCATTCTGGGGCCATGAACGGAAAGACAAATATCTAAGAGCAAGGGAATCCGTCCAAATCATTGATGTTTTGGCCCTTGCCTTCAGCTAAAACCAAACACTTCTGGTATCCAATATGCAGTTATATATTTCTTAAGCAGGTGGAGCAGCTTGCTTGAGGGTGATCAACGCATGTTACAGGAACTGGAAAGTGTAACTCTAACACTCTCAGTGGTACCAGCATTGGGGGTAGAGGGTATGGCTATACTTGTTACACTGGCATCCCATACGGGCATCAGTGTATGTCCCAGCTGCCCCACTTCTGACCCTGACCCCAGCAAACAGCCTGGGCAGTACAGCAGGAGACAGCCCCAGTGTTTGGGCCCCTGCCTCCCACATGGGAGACCCAGTTGAAGTTCCTGGCTCCTGGTTTCAGCTTAACCCAACTCTGGCCATTGTGGCCATTTGCAGAGTGAATCAGAAGACAAAAGATCTCTTTTTCTCTATTTCTCCCTCTCTCTCTCTCTCTAACTTTGCCTTCCAAATAAAGAAGAAAATCACCTTAGCAATATTGATGAGGACTGATGTCACATGAAATTCTAAGGCTCTTAGTTGAGCCTTTAAATTCCTTTATATGTAGGAATATAAAGCAAATAGGTCTATTACTTCTTTGGGACAGGCCGGAGTCATATCCTACCTGAACATTATATGACATTCTCTCTGGGGAATTGAATGCGCAGGAAGGAAAGGGACAAAGGAACCCTGACAGGGATGGAGAGGCTTTCCAGGAGAAGAGACACTGGTTCTTTCCAGGTAGGTGTAAGTGTTCAGGCCAATCATTTACGATTTTTTTTAAGATTTATTTATTTTTATTACAAAGTCAGATATATAGAGAGGAGGAGAGACAGAGAGGAAGATCCTCCGTCCAATGTTTCACTTCCCAAGTGAGTGCAAGGGCCGGTGCTGTGCCTATCCGAAGCCAGGAACCAGGAACCTCTTCCAGGTCTCCCACGCGGGTGCAGGGTCCCAAAGCTTTGGGTCGTCCTCGACTGCTTTCCTGGGCCACAAGCAGGGAGCTGGAAGGGAAGTAGAGCTGCCGGGATTAGAACCGGCATCCATATGGGATCCCGACGTGTTCAAGGCGAGGACTTTAGCCACTAGGCCACACCGCAGGGCCCGTTATTTATGATTGGTATAATTTCTATCACTGATTGTTGAGTTTGCCAAGTTTGCCAATGAAGACTTTTCCTTTGGGATCATTTCCATAGCTGATCACTGAATTTGCTGACAGGAACTTTTGGTCTTGTCTTTGCAGTTGGCCTTTGGACTTCTACGGATTGGGATTGTGGTGGTCTACCTCTCTGAGTCCTTGATCAGTGCCTTCACCACCGCGGCCGCCCTCCATGTCGTCGTGTCCCAACTCAAGTTCATGCTGCAGCTGACAGTCCCCGCACACAGTGATCCATTTTCGTTCTTCAAAGTAAGTAATCCTGTCATTTCAAAGTATATTAAAATGCACAAAGCTCACCATTGATGTTTTGTAGTGGACTTTGCTTTCCTGCATTTGCTTGGGTACTTCCTCGTGATTGCTAAGGAACCAGAGGGCTGGCAAATGTATTCACATGAAGAAATGGGTGGCTTAAAAAGAGAACACAGAGGACTCAACCACATCTACCATACAACTGATGTTAACAGCAGAAAAAGAACGATCCCTTTCTTTACCACTTGAGTCTGGGCATTTCTGGAGAGAAAAGAAATCTAAGTATATTATTAAATGCTTTACTCCTCTGGCAACAAATTTTTTATTATTATTATTAATTACATTGCATTATATGACACAGTTTTATAGGTACTGGGATTCCCCCCACCCCTCCCTAAGTCCTCCCCCCATGGTGGATTCCTCCACCTTGTTGCATTGCCACAGTTCTAGTTCAGTTGAGATTCTTTCATTGCAAGCATATACCAAGCATAGAGTCCAGTATCTTATTGTCCAGATAAGTTCAACGGCTTGTTGGGGAGACCATCTCTGGTCTGAAGGTAGAGCCAGCAAAGTATCATCCCAATCAATTAAAAGCCCCAACATAACATAAGCAACAATTTATAATGTTACAGAATTAGTGAACATAGTACTGAGTAACCAATATGTTTTAAAAAAAAAAAGCAAGTTCTTAACCACATCCTGTGACTTCTTCATTGACATTTCAATTTTAGTTTATATACAACTGGGTCTATACACCTTAAAATGGCTATAGATTACTATTCAGCTGTCTGGTGTCTATTTTCATTGTTACTAGTTTTTTATAGCATTGAAGCATAATTTTGCTGAACCTGACTTTTTTTGGGGGGCGGGGGGAGACTCTAGACCGGCTTATAACTCTAACTAGACATATTTCAACAATTTAGGTACAGGACAGTTTTAAGGAGGGGTGTGCAGAGAAATCTTCAATACCCTAGTGAGGAGTAACTAATCTTTGTGTCCCACCTAGTTAGATATAGGTAAGTCCACGCTGTTTCCTGTCTGATTCTAGTCTTTCCTTGTTCTCTATCTATTCTAGATTGTTTGTTTATTTGGTTCGTTGGTTGGTTATTTGTTTGTTTTGAGGGGTTTCCTGGAGCGATCCTGATGGTCATTGCAAGAGAGGGTGTGGACCCACAGTTGGAACCAAGCGAGGACCAGAGAGAGCTCCCCTCCCTAGTTCCGAAGGAAGTTTACTGTTCTTCTGTTTCTGTGGACTGCTCAGGGATCCTGGCTGTTGCTCTGATGCTCTTGGATCCTGCGAGGAAGGATTTGGACTTCCTCCATCCTGTGTGGTAGATCCATGCGGGAGTGGATGACCTCAGAGTTCCTGGCATCCGAAGGCACTCCAACTCCCCGTGGTCTCCTTGGTAGTTGGGTTATAGTCCTTGGTGCTCGCTGATGGTCCTTGGTGAGGATCCGGGAGTCTTCAAGGTTGGGATACAAGCCTCTTCCTGTTCCCCTGCTCTGCTCTGGGATCCCCCTGCTCTTTGCATATGACTTCCTGTTAAGAGGTTGTCAGGATCGCTCTTGGTTCCCCCTATATGTCTTTGTAGTTTAACTGTTGTCTAATTCTAATTCGAGTTTGTTGTCTGTGAGTTACCAGTTATGATCCTGGTAGGTTGTATTTCACGTTTACCTCACACATTCTAGGGAGATGGAAGATTTCTCTGCTCTCCCACTCCATTAAGGAATAACATAGGGTATTAAAAGTACATTAGGTTTTACAGTTCTTTGATGAAAATCTGACTCGCATTGATTGTTGGTTCATTGCTTATTTCACAATATCTTATTGCATGTGGGATAGGCTGTCTGAGGTTGAGATAATATTACATTTTACAGGTACTATTTTTCATATTGACATCATTTCATCTTAAATTAAGGCAGACATGTGGTATCTAACCTTTTGGGATTGGCTCATTTCCCTTAGCATTATGGTTTCCAGTTGGGTCCATTTGGCCACAAAGAACTACATTTTGTTTTTTTTTAATAGCTAAGTGGCATTCCATAAAGTAGATGAACCATAGCTTTTAGATTTGAAGCGGTTGAGTCTCTTAGGCCAAAAAAAAAAAAAAAAAGTGACCAATAGGAAGACAAGCCAGCGGTTTTCCCTTCCTCCAGAGGATGCAAAGTCGAACAGTGTCAAACGGCAAATTGCAACACTCCTGGTTTTATAAATCGTTATTGTTTCAGTTTTGTTTTTAGTTCTAGCATTAGCAGCACTCTGGATTTTAAAATGGTTTCAAATGCTCATAATTTATGGCCAGAGACAATATCTTACAGAGAGTGAAAGTGAGGCACAAGATAGCTCACTGGGTCACAGCTTGTATGCATCTTACTGGGGCATGGTTTCTTGTGATTGGCTGAGACTCAGTTGCTTATTACAAGAGTAGCTTTTAGGATTGGCATTGTGGATAGCAAATTAAGCCCCTAACTGAGATGCTGGCATCCTAGATGGGTGCTGATTCAAGACCCGACTGCTCTACTTCTGATCCAGCTCCCTGCTAATGCACCTGGGAAAGTAATAGAGGATGACCCAAGTGCTTGGGTTCCTACACCCAGGTAGGAGACTCAGAAGAAGCTCCTGGCTCCTGGCTACAGCCTGGTCCAACCAGCCATTGTAGCGACTTTAAGAGTGAACCAGTAGATGAACATTTTCTCTCTTCTCTCCTCTCTTCCCCTCCCCACCCCTCCCCTCTCTCCTCTCCTCTCCTCTCCTCTTCTCTCCTCTCCTCTTCTCTCCTCTCCTCTCCTCCCCTCTCCTCCCCTCTTCTCCCCTCTCCTTCCCTCTCGTCTCCTTTCTTCTCTTCTCTTCTCTTCTCTCTGTTACTCTACCTTTAAACAATTAAAAAACAACTGTAAAAATAAAAACATGTTCTTTCAATAAAGAAAGTAGACTACACATTGGTTACCCATCAGGTTAGGTTATCAGTTTTATACCAAATTATATAAATTCCTCCTTTCAGTTGATTGAAATTTGAGAGGTTGACCAAAACCTTGGGCTTTGGCTTCATTTTCCATCACCATCATAACTGAACATGTTTGGTCTCATGTGCTGTTGGGAAATAGCAGAGTGGTGGGTTTTGTAAGATAGAAAAGAAGAAACAGAACAATAGAAAAAAATGTTTGGTTGATTAACATCAGGTGACTTCAAGCTACTTTTCTGGGAGAAAATAAAGGTTAAAGCAAAAGTGACTACTTTTCTGCACTGACTCAGGCTGGAATCTCCTGCTTGTAGGGAAAAAACAAGTGCTCTGTTGGGATTCCTCCTGCTTCCTTAAAGTTTTGGCTTGCTTGTGTGTTGTTTAGCATAGATGACTCCATTTTGGGTTGGTCTGACAGATTGGAGCCCAACATAGGATTTCAATTCAAAACAGGGTGTTCCTATTTTTTTCCCCTTCACGAACACATATTGTTCTCATTACTTCTGTCAAGATAGTCTTTGGCAGTCTGAGGCAGACATTGTCCCAAACTGAAACCAACATGCTCTCGACTCCCATCCAAAGCTTCGGCCTGTTCCAAGCCCTGGCTATTGCAGCTATTTGGAGAATGAACCTGCAAATGAAAGATCTCTCTCTCTCTCTCTCTCTCCCTTCCTTTCAAATAAATCAATACACTTTTTAAAAGAGGGTAAGGTGGTGGGGGGAGAAGATGCCAGCTACGAAAAACCCTCAGGGTTTATAAAATATAACCTAGACAGAATAATGTGATGATTTTAACAAAAAAAAGACCAAAAAACCTAGGGACAGAGAGTATCAATTATACAAATGTGAGATGTACCCAACAAAGTTTGACACTAATCAAAGAGATTTTCAACAACAACAAATAGCAGGTACATCCCTAAACTACAGTTACACCTGCACTAAGCGAACACATCCTTTTCCTTTCACAAACTTGATCATTGGAATTGTTATTGATACATGACAGGACTTGTGTGCCAGTGTTTCTTCTTACCTGTTTGAAGATGGTTGTATCTAAATTATGCATTCATAGGGGACTTTTATGTCTTTTTTTTTTTTTTGATCATAGGTCCTGGAGTCCATATTCACACAAATACAGAAGACCAATATTGCAGACCTTGTGACATCCCTAATCATTCTCGTGATTGTATTCATCTTTAAAGAAATCAACCAGCGCTTCAAATCCAAACTCCCAGTGCCCATTCCCATCGAACTCATTGTGGTAATTGGTCACCTTAACATCTTCTGTCATAGTTTCTTCTAATATTCTCATGTCGAAAATCTTTTGCCATCTGCGAGTCAGGAGGTTTTCGTGAGCAATTGGGTATTGGGTTTAGTATGGTTGGCTTTCCATTAAGATTGAGTAACTTTGTCTTACAATTTTGGGTTCTTCTTCACACAAAAGATGAGAGTACAGAGAGCAGGACCTCCAAGAAGATGATAGAAGCAGTTCTGTTAATGGGTTGTGATTCTCAGACTTAAGGGTTGGTTTGGACAATGGGTTTTGGTCTTGTGGTCATTGCTTTTTGCTTTGTTTTGACAAATAAGCTTCATAGTTGCTCCTCGTATTTCTCACTTGAACAATTTGCCACTTTCCAGACTGTGATCGCAGCAGGTGTGTCCTACGGCTGTGACTTCGAAAAGAGGTTTGGCGTGGCTGTGATTGGGACCATGGAGAAGGGGTAAGTGTGTGCCTTCCATGGCAGCCTCTCCAAGCTCTCAGCATGGAGTGAGCAGGCCTTCCAGGAAAGGCATAAGCTGAAAGAAACTTTCCGCACCTGTCACATGGCTCTGCTCCTCTGAAAAAAAAAAAAATTAGGACCCACAGCTCTAACATCAAAAGGTTTCCCCTTGCAGAAGTGCCCACAAACCAGGCAACCAGGGACCCGCACAAGAGAAAGCAAGCTAGCCAAGCCATGGAACTGGAAAGTGAGGCAAGTTAAACTGCTTCTCCTCAGAGACACCAAGTGACACCAGATTTCCTTGTCCCTAAATTACTATAAACAGTAAGTAGTGCCTTGTTTGAGGTTACTGTCGCCAAGGCCTCAGAGTCCAAAGGAGACACTGAGGGGACACTGGCATACCGCCTGAGCGACCCGGATGGGTACACACTGTCCTTGTTTGTGATCCAATGCAACATAGGACTCAAGCCCCACTTCCCACAGCGAGAGGCTGGGAGCCCGGTTCACACAGAGTCTGCTCCATGACATTTAGTCGGCTAGGAGAGAGAGGTCTCATTGCCCTCAATTTTGTTCCTTTCCACCCTCTGATCATAGATAGCATCAACTTCTTTCAAACTAACAGGAATGCTTGTTTTCCTGTTGTTTTTTAGGAAGATCTCTCAATATCCCCAGATTTAACAAGTGTTTGAGAATTCTGGATATCACTGGTTTTGTGTTGTGCTGGCTTCAAAATAGCCAAATCCTCTTAAAAACAAATACACGTGCTTTTTAAAAGGAAAAATAAAGAATATTTACCACCAGATGTTCATGAAGGATTTAGTAAATCTGCACCATCACTTTTAAATTAGAAGGTTCAGCAATGACAATTAGGCCACAAATCGAAAGCCTTCCTAGGATTTCCAAGCACCTGGCAACTTTGAAGGGCTCATATTCCATTTTATTGTCTTAGGAGACATAAGTCACATACAAAAATCACTAAGTGTGCAATAAAAGAGGCTCTCATCTCAGGAGTTTGAGAAATACATGATACGCGTATGATCACAGGGTGGTGATCTTAAGACTTTGTTTAGTAAATATATCTTAAATGTCAGTGGACTCAGTCACAAAGTTTTTGGGTTGGACAGGTGAATACTCATAACAGCCCTCGGGCTCTACCCAGGAGCAGTGAAAACTGGTGAGTAAACTCTGGAAGCAGACAAATAATTCAATTCTGTGCCTTGTTATCCTTGTAAAGGTAAAATGAGACAAAAAGTAAGAGTTTCTGCATCCCCCAAGGCTTCAATGATTTGATCCGTGTAACATGCTTCATAATCTGGCAGAATGCAACTGTTCAAACTACATCAACCCCATGACTGAATCAGCACCTTGGACTGGAGTTCTAAGAATTGCCATTTTTTCCCGTGCGTTGGTTGAGTGGTCATTTCTGTTGCTTACACATAGGTATTCCTGAGTGGTAACAGTGATTCAATAGGTCAGCTATCAATTCTACTTTGGAAGTTACTCTGTGGAGTCACATCAACCACTTGGAAGAATCTTAGATGCTAAGAAGGCTTATGGAAGCAAAGGAGATATGTAGAGTCTAGAGGGATCCTGAAACACCAGCCAACAGGCACCTTGTGTCTCAGACTGTGCAATCACTTTGTGTTCATGGTTTTTATTGTGCCCTCCTTTTAAAAATAAAGAAAACACGAATTGTCATCCTCAATTTACAAATGAGAGAGCTAGCTACAGGGAGAGTGAGCGGTAGAGCCAGGCAATGAACCATGTGTTACAGTACTTTACAGGGTTCAGAGACTAAAACAAAAGAAGAGTAGGGTCCTGGATATTTTAATAAAAAGCACAAAGTTTTATTGTATCACTGATGTCATATTTGTTCCTTTAAAAAAAAAAACTTTCTTATTTCTTAAAAAAAATTTTTTTTGAAAGTCATTAGCAGGAGAAAGAGAGAGTTTCTGATTCATTACCTAAATGTCTACAAGGGCCAGGGCTGGGTTACGCTGAAGTCAGGAGCCAGGAACTTCACCCAGCTTTTCCTAATGGGTGGCAGGAGCCCAAGGGCTTTGGCTATCATCTGCTGCCTTCCCAAACTGCATTAGTGGCAGCTGGACTGGAAGCACAGCAGCCAAGACTTGAACTGGTGCTCCAATATGGGATTCCAATGCTGCATGTAGCAACTTAATCTACTGTGCCACCATGCTGGTTCTTAAAGTTAACTTTCTGACTTATAACAGCAACAGAGTATGGAATTATGATACTTATCTGAAATTAGAACTGAAAAAGTATTGTCATAGATAGTCACAAACCATGAAGCAGGCATGTAGAAATTACTGGATCCACTTAGTCCACTGGCAGTTAGCTTTAAGTCACAAGCTGATGCATGCAAAAATTGAGCATTGATAAACTGATGCTGAGTTAGTAAACCTTTTCTCATAATTTGTCACTGTAATTTAATCACTCCAAGTTTGTGAGGCAGAAGAGGTTCCCGTGAGCTGTCTGTACCTGAACTGAATTACTTTAAGCCGGGATTCATTCTCCGCTGGCTCCGTGGCTGGCCCTAGCAATTATGTGCCATGAGACAGAGCCAGAAGCCCATCTCTCTACTGAAGTTTCCATGAAAGATCATTGTTACCAATGAAAAAGTTGCTTTTTGTTTGTTTGTTCTTTGGCTTGCTTGTTTATTGCCTTCCTTGAGTCAGAATTGTGTTTCCTCAAATGGTTTTAATCCATGGTTAATTGTCAAAGATATTGTGGTGATGCTTTGTGACCCAATGTTACAGTTCTTGGGGAATCTAAGACATTTTGAATGAAGATTATGGTGGTCTGGATGTACATCACCATGTGGTAAAACTGGCAAAATCATTCTGTTTACCCAGGTCATGAAACTAGATTTATGGCTTTTTAGCAAATATAAGCGTCACAACTTTCCAACAATAAGACAGCAGATCTCAACGCTTTTGGTGGGAACAACTTGTTGGAAGTCATGCTCCAAAGTGAGGCATTGCTTGGCCAGGATTGCATTTACTCATTGATCTGCCCAATGCTTGGGTGCATTTTTAAGCAACTTGATGACATTTAGAATCGTTTAATTTCAATTTCAGATTCCAAACACCTACTGCCCCTGATGCTCAGGTTTTCCAGGATGCCATAGGAGATGGCTTCTCCATTGCAATCGTAGGCTTTGTTGTGGCCTTCTCCGTAGCCAGTGTCTATTCCCTCAAATATGATTATGCGATCGATGGCAGTCAAGTGAGTATTCAACCTGCACTGGATATGATAAAGCAACTTGATATAGTGTGTGGTGTGCACTTGTCAACGTTTCCTACTGATTCCCTTGTCAGGAGTTAATAGCCTTTGGATTGGGTAACATAGTGGCCGGAGCATTCAGAGGATTCGCTGGAAGCACCGCTCTCTCAAGGTCAGCGGTTCAAGAGAGCACAGGAGGCAAAACCCAGGTACCTCAAGATCAATCCTGCTTAGCGCCATCCTGGCATCAATAACTGGGAGATAACTCCCAGCCAAGGGAGATGGCGAATATGTGGTGAGAGTCATTTTATCTTTCCAGATTGCTGGAATCCTGTCTTCTGTCGTTGTGTTAATTGTCATCCTAGCCATTGGGTTTCTTCTGCAACCACTACAAAAGGTACCTACCACTCCTCTCTCTTTAGATACCATCCCTGTCTTTGAGGTGATAGGCTGAGGAACCTGCTTTTAACCTCTGGAAGTATAAGTGAGACTGGAGGAAAATGAAGTAACCACAAACTTTCAAGAAGTCTTCTTAACTACTCCTCCATGGGCCAAAGCTATTTCTTTCCTCTTGGCAGAATTTTATGAACGTTAGGAATGCAGATGCCCTAACTGCTTTATCTGCTCTCCTCTTTGCATGTTGGAGCCCCAAGGATAACTGGTGTTTACACAGGAAGGCACCCTGACCCCCTCAGCTTCAACATGCCCTGAAGTGAAGATTTTCTTAAAGGTTGAGGTCATCAGGTTCTCTATCTAATTCAGAGAGTGGTGCTACCAGCCACACAGCCTGTTCTTAGGAACACGCCCTACAGCTCCTAGAGATTTGGTTTGACTCCAAGACCAAAACCATCAGTTTGCAGGATGAGAACAGAGAACCAGGCACAGACCCCACCACCCTTTGAACCTCATGATATTCTGCCTGGAAGTTTTGAGAATTTTGTTTAATACCTTGTGAACTTCTAGGATATCCTGATTTTTAAAGTATCTTCATTCCCTGGATCACAGCATCTCTAGGAAACTAGATGGCAGTAAATACAACTACATGGTTCTTTGTGGGATTGTTGTTAAGATTCCTATTTATTTACTTGGAAAATCACAATTACAGAGGGAGAAGGCAGGGAAAAATGGAGAGAGAAATCTTCCCTCTTCTGGTTCACTTCCCAAATGACTTTAACAGCCAGAACTGGGCCCTGGCAAAGTCAGGAGCCAGGAACACCCACTGGGTCTGTCACAAAGGTAGCAGGGGTCCAAGCACTTGTGCCATCCTCTTGCCTTCCCAAGTACACTAGCAGGGAAATGGATTGAAAATGGAGCATCCAGGACTTCAACCAGCGTTCAAATGAGATGCCAGCTTCTCAGTAGATAACTTACACCACTGAGGCACAACATGAGTCCCAGGGCCAATATCCTTGGTTAAATCCATCATGTATCCTTGTCAGCTTGCACATCAGTTCACATTCATGTGAGGCAATAGCGGGAAACAGGATTTGGGGGCTTTCGGAGTTGGAGGACTGTACCTACAAAGCCTTCCTGTCCGCTCAGTTTGAATTACCATTGCTTCTCATGCAGAACATCTTGGAGCTAAGGCTGATCAGAAAGAGGCAGGTCTCCAGGGGATATTTCTGATGCTGTTTTTCACCCCTCATGGCTGTGTCGGTAACTACCTGGTTCTGAACTGTGGTGCTCCTTAAGGCAGAACAGAGTGAAAAGGCATTTAAAAATTTTCATTTTATGTAATTTTTTATTAGCATATAGTCTTTGTACTCTTTTTTTCCCCCTCTATTTTGAGAAGTAGAGAGACAGAGTGTGGAAGAAAGAAAAACAGAAAAACACAGAACTCCCATCCTCTGGTTCATTCCTCGGTGTCTACAGGAGCTGGGGTTGGGCCAGGCTGGGAAGCAGGAACTCAGTCCAGGCTTCAGTTATCACCTGCTGCTTCCCAAGGTGCACATTAGCAAAAGCCTGCAGCTGGGACTCGAACCAGGTACTCTGATACGGGTTGCAGGCATTCCAACCAGAGGATTAAGCACTACCCATGAGCTGAAGCTCAGCCGTGTACTTGCACATTTTTATGGGGTACAGTGCAATATCCCTTACATAGACACAGCATAAATGAATCAAGCCTTTTATTCTCCGTATCTGCATTTGCAACCTACCGGCTCTCCTCCTGTAGCTTTTTAACACAATCTATAATACGTTATTGTCAGCTGCCTCATGCCATTAAATGACTCTGAAACTAGTAATTTCTGTCAGCCTGACCTCCCTCTCTACCTCCACCCTGCCCATCCTGTAGTGATTACTAATCTATGTTCAGCAACCGTTTTTAACTTGAATATGTGAAAGAGAAAATGTGGTCTGGGTCCTTTCACTCAACATCATGATTTCCAGTTTTATTCATTTAGCTGCAAATGTCAGGATTTCTTTCTTGTGACTGAATAGTACTCCATTGCATGTGTTCTGTATACTTGATTTTTGTTCTCCATTCGATTGTCGATGGACACCTAGGTTGATTTCATGCTTTAGCTCTTGTGAATTGTGCTGCAGTGAATATGGAAGTGCAGGCATCTGTTTCATATGCTAGCTTCAATTTCTTCACATATATGCCCAGACGTGGGCGAGCTGAATCAAGTATTTTTAAATTTTTGAGGACTTTCCATGCTGCTCTCCTTAATGCTATACTAAGTTACATTCCCACCAACAGTGTAGAAGAGTTTTGTTTTCTGCATCTCCTAGCCAACATGTCATTTCTTGTCTTCCTGACAATAGCTTTCACCACTTTTCAACTGGCATTCATTTATGTGCTATTTTTTTTTATCTGTCATGTTCTTTTTTAAAATATCTCTTTATTTCTCTGAAATGCTACAGAGAGATGGAGATATACAGGAAAAGGGCGAGATCTTGCATCCACTGTTCACTCCCCCAGATGGATACAACGACCAGGGAAGAACCAGACAGAAGCCTAGAGCCAGGAGTTCCACCCAGGTCTTCCACATGGGTACAAGGTTACAAGACCTTGGACCATCTATTTGTCACTTCCCCAGGCTCATTAACAGGGAGTTGGATCAGAAGCCAAACAGCTGAACTCAAACCAGTCCCTTTATGGGAAACTGGTATTGTAGGTGGCAGCTTAACCTGCTTAACAGTCCCTGTTTCCTTTTTAAAATCGCTAAAGACCATATTTCTTGTTAACAATGACTTCCATCCTCACACTAACTAAAATCAGCTCCAGAAATATTAAGATGTAAAAAGCATTTACAAAAAATTTTTAATACCTGGATCAGTTCAACAATCTTCAAGGCAGGCAGATAAATTTAGTATTTGTGTTTTCTTTGTGCCCTGAGAGTCGCTGGAATGATAGTCAGAATACAAACTCCATTATCCATTCAGAGTGGAACAGCTTGAATTTGGTGTAGGGCTGGAGAGGGTCTATTCCTACTATGGGGTTAAAATCCAAAGACCAGGACCTGGCACTATAGCAGAGCGACTTAAGTCCTCACCTTGCATGTGCCCTGGATCCTATATGGCTTCTGGCTCATGCCCCAGCAGCTTCACTCCCCATCCAGCTCCCTGCTTGTGGCCTGGAAAAGCAGAAGAGGACTGCCCGAAGACTGGGGACCCTGCACCCGCAGGAGAGACCCAGAAGAAGCTGGCTCCTGGCTTTGGACTGGTTCATCCGCCATTTGGGGAGTGTACTAGGTGATAGAAGAGCTTTCTTTCTGTCTCTCCTTCTTTCTATAAATCTGATCTACCAAAAAAAAAAAAATAAATCTTTAAAAAAAAATCTAAAGAGGTGAGTGTCTTGAGCCAGCCATCCAGCATGTTTTTTTACCCTGACCATCAGTTTCTACAAGACAACTTAGTTTGCTTGGCCTCAAGTGTCACTATTTCTAAAGTTGGGATTCAGTGGTATCACGGTTAGGGCTTCTTAAGTGGCCGTGTGGGGCGGGCGCGCATTTGACTTGGCAATTGAGATACCAGTTGAGGCCTTTTCCTCCTGTGTTCCATGCATTCTGTGCCCTCCTCTAGATCCTAATTCCAGCTTCTGAACAGTGTAAACCTTGGGAGGCAGTAGGAGGCTGCTCTAGTAGATGAGTCAATGCCACTCACTTGGAAGACCTGGGATGAGATAATGACTCTTTGCTTAAGCCTCCTCCAGTGAGGCCAGTGTGCACTTTGGGGACATGAACCAGTGGATGGAAGCTCTCTCTGCCTGTCTCTAGCTGCCTCTCAAATTAATTAGCTAATTAACTTTTAAAAAGAAGTTGTTTTTCTAGATGGTTAGTACTGGCTGGGGAAGTATTAACTCAGTATCTTATTATTTCATTGATTATTATTCAGTTGCTCCTATAAGCATGTGTCCTAAGAGTTTCTAGGGATATAGTGAGGAGCAAGAGAGACATGGCCCACACTGTCCCAGAGAGTCTATGTCAGGTTGCTGGTCTGGTCACTGATCATCGCAAAGGTTTGAATTCACATGGCAGGACCTAACACTGCCCAGGGTTTTTTTTTTTTTTTCCCTCTCCCCTGCTTCCACAGGACAACTTTCATTCCTTCAACTCCAATAAACAGATATGCATAAGATGATGTCTACTTGGCAAGAATTTTTTCCAACCCTGAGCCATCATAACTCTTAAGATCTAACCTTCTCCATCCTGAGGTGCAGGCTACTAAGTGGCCTCAGATCATCTACAGGATAAAGTCAATGGGCACTGCAGCCCTTGTCACCATCGTTGGGGATGTAGCCATGTCTTGGGAATAGGTCAGAGTCCCAGTTCTGGTGTGTCTAACATAACATTGTACCCCAAAGGGGTGTGTCCTTGATAGGAGTGGAGGCCCTTAAACGATTCCCTTATCTCTGGCCTTCACCTTTGCCTCTATATAGTTTCTTTGATTAACTTCAAGTACATTTGATGTTTGTGTTGTTCACAGTCTGTGCTGGCAGCCCTAGCGCTTGGAAATTTGAAGGGAATGCTGATGCAGTTTGCTGAGATAGGCAGACTGTGGAAGAAAGACAAATACGATTGCGTAAGTAGAAGAAAGGATACTTGAAAATCACATGTAACATGGTGCATTTTAACGCTGATGTAAATTGCACGTTTATAATCCAAGCTCATGGAATGCTTCTTCCTAACTATTGGTTCAAAATCATCTAAGCTGGTTATATTTACTTTATCTTGAATTTGCATACTCTAAAGAGCAGTCCCTGGCATTTTAATATCAAAGAGCAGGTTGTTTCCAAGAGGACGTATTCCATGAATCATGTAAGCAGCACTCGCTCAGAGCGGTGCTAAACGCTCTCACAATCACCCAGACTCCAGACACTGGATTTTCTGTGTGTATTGTGCGAATTGTTCTTCATCACATGTTGTTCCTTCCAGAGAACCCGTGAGAAGCTTACATTCTGAACATTCCTTCTGGAAATCATTTTCTTGGGAAAAGGACACCCCTGGCTCTCAGCGTGATTCTCTGTGAGGAACAGAGTCCATAATTTAATCAGAGTCAAAGTCTGCACTGTGATAAATGCTTGTTAGCCTGCCCCATGGAACTTTGGGAACACAAAGTAATAGGTTGTGTATTGGTTTGCTTTGTTCCTGATAGGAAATAATCCTGGGGGATTTTAATACCCTTTGACCTCCTGGAGAATTCTCCTGGAGATAGTTGCCATTAATTAGATAGGAGTAGAGATTAGTAAAGATCCTAAGAATTCATTTGGTGATTTTCATGAGCATCCTGCTAGGTCCAGAATTTTCGCTATGACAAACTTGATCCTGTTTCTTTAACTGATTCCAGAGGTGGCTACAGAGCCTTTCAATATTCTTCTATTTGCGGATTTCTAAGTCTCAGAACCTAAGCCAGTAGAAATGACCTCTCACAAGTATTCTTCCCTGCACACTTGTCCCCTGGCCCAAGAAAGCAACTCACAATCTCTTGCTCACATGTTCTCATAATTGTGGAACCAAGACACTAGCTTTTCATTAAAACTAATTGCAATGTGTGTCTTGCTCTCTGCTCACAGTTAATTTGGATCATGACCTTCATCTTTGCCATTGTGCTGGGACTCGGATTAGGTCTGGCAGCAAGCGTGGCATTTGAGCTCCTCACCATCGTATTCAGGACCCAGTTGTGAGTATATGTTGGGCTCTGTACCCGGCAGACTATAATGGATCTAAGGTAGAAGAGGAGGGTTAGGGGTAGGGTTAGCGTTAGGGTTACGGTTAGGGTTAGGGTGTAGGCATGTATTACCTGGTTGACCAGGACTTCCTTGCTCTAGTTAATCACCTAAGGCCACTGGAGCACTAGAATGGCCTAGTGGTAGAGTGTCCATTCAGGGAGACACCTGCTGCTGATCTGTTCCTCTGCTCCCTGCCTTGACATCAGTTCAAACAAATCATACAAATCATTGTGCATCCACCTTAAATCTCTCAAAGACCCCTCTTATCCTAGCTTTCCCTAATGGCCACTTGGAATTCTTCATGCTTCCTAGTTATCCAGCTCAAGTATCATTTTTGTTTTTAAACCTGTGCCATTTAGTATCACCACCATGGACGCGATCACTCAGCCTATACTGTACTGTATAGTGCAACAGAGAAGTGAGACTGCACAAGCTGTGATCCTGAACTTAGCCCCTGATGAGTGGGCTACATGGGTGTTAAAATGTTCCTGAACTCCTTCGTTCATCTAGACTCTTACTTGGGTCTCTATTGGGAACTCATCAAATACAGAGACAAAATGAACAGTCACACAGGCATGTGACTTTATTTCTCCATGTTCTCACCTGTTGTAACTGGGAGAATCCGATCTACCTTCTCCCACCCACCGAGTAACTGTGACATTCACATTCAAAATGACAAAAGTGCTTTGTAAATTGTAGTGCAGTAAATAGGAGGCTCCCTGTAGGAGCTGTGCAGGGGCACAAAGATGGTAGCATATAGGGACTCTCATGCTGTGACAATTTCCCAGCCTTTTAGATTTTGAAAAATGAATTTGCACTGACATGCTAAGAAAAAAAATCACTGTTATTAGTCTTGCAGGTTAACAAATATTCATGCAAGCATGAGTGATTGGTTATTATTTTTCCCTACAGTCCAAAATGCACCACCTTGGCTAACATTGGAAGGAGCAACATCTATAAGAATAGAAAAGACTATTCTGATGTAAGGAAGATTCATTTTTTTTCTTGGACTTGCTAAATGATGCCAATATGAATCTAACAGGCACCATCTGATATGACCTCTCTGCCTTCCAGATGTATGAGCCAGAAGGAGTGAAGATCTTCAGATGCCCAGCTCCTATCTACTTTGCAAACATTGGTTTCTTCAAGCACAAACTGATTGAAGCTGTAAGGTTTGGGGTTATTTAACTTTCTGTTGTTGTGGTCATCTGCTAAAGGTCTGGAAGTGAAATGTTTGTTCTTATGCCAGAAGATAGCTGCCTTCCCCTAGCCTGAGGTTGAGGTCTTTTTGCGTCCCAGATCCCAGGGATGTTGAAACCACCTTAACAGTAGTCTATTAATAGCAGGGAGCTTCAGAAAGTTCATGGAAAATGTATATTATGAAACAACTATGCATGGATTTCAATGTTCTTATGCCCCAAAATAAACTTATCTTTTAATGCTATTTTTGCATGAACTTTCTTGAAGTTCAGTATAGAATCCTCAAACCTAACACTAAAATGATGAAATTTGTAATAAATATTACAAAATAAATGGATAAAATTTTTACCAAAGACTATTAATTAGGTACCATACAAATTCAGCAAATAAATTAATTAAATCCCTGAAGATGTGTGTGTGTGTGTGTGTGTGTGTGTGTGTGTGTGTGTGTGTGTGTGTGTAACACAGAATCAGGTAAGGTTTAGACCCCTTCATAGACAATTTATGAATGAATCCTGTTGGGGATGGAGGCTTTTCAGTGTTGATACCTGCCAACAATCTGACCTAATGTTGTTCCTGAAGTTATTTAAACCATGTTGGAATTTTAAATCACAAATGTCATTTTTATGTATCGCAATCCCTCAACCCATTGCAATCGATGTTATTTGAATTATCCTGTATAAATAGCAGACTATTCTGTACCATTGTAACACAGCACTGGGTTTTTCAGATTGGCTTCAGTCCACTCCGAATTCTACGCAAGCGCAACAAAGCTTTGAAGAAAATCCGAAAGCTGCAGAAGCAAGGTCTGCTACAAGTGACACCAGTAAGTTTCTTCACTATGTGTCCACAGGGTATCCCCAAAAGCTTAGTGAAACAGAATTCAGACTGTTCCATTTTTTAGAGAAGATGCCAGGTAAACTAGCTATTTCAGAAGCCCAGTAATGTCATTTAAAAAAATAAGTTCTACAATAAAAACCTGAAAAAAATGGATAAAGTGTAAAGGCTTGAGTGGTTCACAGCTTTGAGGCTCAAGGAGAAGATCAGACAATCCTATTGGTCCAGCACGGGTGGGGGTGGCAGGTGGGAAAGGCAGGGAGCCTGAGAAGGAGTGAACACAGAGCAAGCCAGGGAGCAGAGACAGCGGCTGGACCTGACATAGGCTTCCATGCCCAACCTTCTCCGGAGAGGTGCCTTGCAAGGCGCTTCCTAGTGGCCGGAGCACCTCTGCTCTGCCCCTCCTCCTGAAGACCACCACTGGATTTTTTTTTCCCACCTGCTTAGGACCATTAACTTATGACTTAACGGCTTCATGTCTGCCTGAGTTCAGGAGCCCAATCTTGTTCACACCACACCAGCCTCTGTGAGAGTCTCCCCAAGGTGGGGCTGTGTCCACACCCCAGGGCTTGCTTCAGGAGCTCCCTGGCCCATCCCAGATACTCTCAGTGTTTTTGCCTGGTCAGAGCCATCGTGTCTGTACCCTCTTCCACAGAAAGGATTCATATGTACCGTCGATGGTATCAAGGATTCTGACGACGAAGAACTGGACAACAATCAGATCGAACAGCTGGATCTGCCCATCGACACCAGCGACCTGCCCTTCCAGATCGACTGGAATGCTGACCTTCCTCTCAACATCGTGGTCCCCAAAATCAGCCTCCACAGCCTCATCCTCGATTTCTCAGCAGTGTCATTTCTTGATGTGTCTTCCATGAGAGGCCTCAAAACGGTAATTCTTCCCCAACCCCTTCAGGCACTAAAGGAAAAAAAAAGAGTATTTGTGGAAGATTGCTTCATTCGAACTAAATTATACTGTTAGGATATTCCATGGAGAGATGCAGGGGGCTCTTTGAAAGTACATTTCCCAGAGCGTGCATTGCAGCACAGCTGGTTAAGCCACCACTTGGGGCACCTATTGCCTCTCCCATCAAAGTGCCTGGTTCAGGTCATGGCTACTTCACACTTTCAGTCCATCTTCCTTCTGATGAGTCCGGGAGGCAACCAATGGTGGTCCAAGTACTTGGGTTTATGCCAGTCACATGGGTTACTCCAATGGAGTTCCTGATTTCTGGCTTCAGCCTGGCACAGCTCCAGATGCTATGGCTACCTGGGGAGTGAACCAGTAGATTTAAGTTCTCTTTCTCCCTGTCTCTCCCTTTCTCTGTCATTCCATTTTTCAATAAATCTTTAAAAATAAAATAATACAAATGCACTTCCCATAACTCTTTAGAACTTCAAAGGCAACCAAGCCTACGATTCCAATGAATGACGAACCTGTAGTTGACAACTACACTCACATATCAAATATCAAGTGTGATAAGCATCACATCTGAATTATGCTAAAGGCAGGAAAGACTTGGAAAAGTCCTGGAGGAAATATGGAGCAGTGGGTCCTGTTATTTTTTTTATTCTCTTTCATTTCAGTTGATTGAATTTCACTTATTCAAAAACATGCCTCAGAGGAGGAAAATGGAACACCTTCCACTGCTTTTCAAGCCCACTAGCAGGGAGCTGGGTCAGAGGTGGAGCTGCTAGGACTTGAACCAGCAATCAGCAATGCTGACTTTACCCACAATGCCACAGTGCCAGCCCCAACATTTCTTTTGTTATCCTAACAGTACAGCAGAGAAGACACACGCTCTGACTTTTGTTGCTTGAACTCAGTCCTTAAATCAGTGCTTGGCAGGGATATTGTATAAGTATCAGTTAATGGTGACGATGACAGCATGCTCATCTGACCTGATCAACAATAAAGCTATTTTTCTTATCTTCTATCATCTTAAGGATATCAATACTTATATTTGCTCAAAGCATATAGACCAGAATTGAATCAACATTCATTAATGCTGTATATATTGTCACTGAATTGAAGAACAATGAACAATTTACTGACCTTGCTTGTTTTATATTGTTTACTTTTAGACAGAAAGAAAGCTCTAATCGAGATCGTTTCATAAAATATATTATTTTAAAGCTAAATCAGAATTGATCTGTGTTCAGGCAGAACATTTTCCCTTAATACAGCCTTGATGAATAATCATTTTTAACTTTTGCCTAAAGAGGAATACTCTTTCCTTGTAGTTTGTTTCTTCCTGTCATGGGGCCTTGTTTTTAACTTTAGTAATTCTGTATACGAAATCTCTTTTCAAAGCGGAAATGTTTCTGGAAGCCGTATTTTCCTAGTAAGATATAATTGTGATAGCTTCCTTTGCTATCTGACAAATGCAATTATTCCCTAAGGAAAATCAGCTTGCTGTTGTTTTGTTTTGAACAGATCTTGAAAGAATTTTCCAGGATCCAGGTGGATGTGTATATTGTTGGAACTGATGGTGAGTTGTTTTTATTCTGTGTTCTGACAGTCACTTCAGGCCAACTTCCTGTCCCAAAGAATAATTATTGTATATGATCACGTGAGGATAATATAATTTGCAGCTGAGCCAATGGAAATCCCTACGGAAGTGTTGTTTGTCTATGTTCACATGTGATTAAGTGAATTTACTATTTGAACCCTGATCGATAGACAGTAGTACATCAACCATGTTTACTCGAATCCTCATGAGAGTACGCTCGCTTTCTGTCTCTCTCCCTGCCCTCCCTTGCAGTTCTCTGCCCACACCACATTGGCTTCTGCTTCACCCCACTTGGGAGACTGCCTTGGATGTTATCTGTGACACCCAGATTGACAAGGTCCAGTGCTGCCCTCTGGGGTTCCTTCTGCTGGGATTGGCTTTAAAACGCTCTTGCTCCCTGACTTGCGCATGACCGTATTCTGATTCTCATTCTGAGTAATCTTCCCTGAGCTTCAATCTTCAACTCCAGCATTCTTAAGCCACGGGCTCTTTCTAGCCAAGCTCTACATGCTTATGACTTCAAGCACATCTACATGTTAACAAATCCCCAAATTTTACCTCAAGCCCAGACCTGTCTTCTGAGCTGCAAATCCCTTGAGGTTTTGCCTAAACAGAAAATCCACTGACAAACAGATGATGCCCTATAGTTTTGGGGTTGCTGGACTATTTCTCAGTTACTAAACCTGTTTTCCAAAATCAGCTGATAAAGAAACCACACTGGATGCTCCAGTCAGCTGAGCAAGGAAAGTAACTCACATGACTTTTACTTAAATAAAAGTGGATTCATTTCCTTCCCAAAACAACTTAAAGTTTTCTTATTGAATCTTTTCCTTTTGATCTGAGTGCACTGAGCATGTATGTTCTAAGAGAATCGTTCCATCACACATTGGGACTAGCCCTTGGCAACCCCTAACCCGTGAGTGAGTGAAGGGCATAAACTCCAACGGAAACCCGTGGCCACAACCATGACCCCTCCTCCTAAGTGTCGTTGTTTCTCTTTTCAGATGAGTTCATCGACAAGCTTGCTCAGTGTCAGTTTTTTGATGATGAAGTCAAGGACTCAATGTTTTTCTTAACAATCCATGATGCTATTTTGCACATCATGATGAAGAAGGATTACAGTGCCTCCAAGTTTAATCAGGTACTAGGTCTTTGATGACTTTCTCATCTGCAGCTAAGCATCTACACTTTGTCTTAAATGTTCCTGTAGAGTGTAGCTTTCTTAAAAACTGGTCTTTAATCCATAATTCCATTCTTTTGCTCAGGAAAAAGAACCCAAATTTGATTTTACCATAAATACAAATGGAGGATTACGTAATCGGGATTATCAGGTAATATCCTTTGACTGATTTATCTTCATCTAAGCATCACAGGAATAACATCCTTAGAAGTAGTAGGGCCAGGCCCGGTGCAGTAGCCTAGTTGTTAAAGCCCTTGCCCTGCAAGCGCTGGGATCCCATATGGGAGCAGGTTCTAATCCCGGCAGCCCCACTTCCCATCCAGCTCTCTGCTTGTGGCCTGGGAAAGCAGTCGAGGACCGCCCAAGGCCTTGGGACCTTGCACTGTGTGGGAGACTTGGAAGAAGCTCCAGGCTACTGAATTCTAATCGGTTGAGCTCGTGGGGCCACTTGAGGAGTGAATCAGTGGATAGAAGATCTTCCTCTATGTCTCTCTTCCTCTGTGTATATGCAACTTTCCAATAAAAACAAATAAATCTTGAAGAAGTAGTAGTAGTATTAGGGCCTCTTGACCTGCAGAAAACCTGGTACTTTTTTGAGTCTCAGAAACTGCTTTCTAGAATATTGACTGTCACCCAGTCTTGTAGGGAGTCTTGGGGAAAGTGAGCTCAGACTAGTCTAAAAATGTGTTTGGTGGGGATCAGTTCATCTCTATTAATGCAGTATCAGAAATATATTTTTCATCAGTGATCTCATTTCAGCCTTACAATCATCAATGAGATAGGGAATGTATCACTATTTGCATTCACAAATTGTTGGTGGAGCTGAGAAATGAGTACATTTCTTCTGATACCCAGGAACACAACAACATTGATTTCTAGAATGTTCGCTCCTTGAAGGCCATGTCTGTAGTTGGGCAAAAGCATAATCACAAATCCAGATGGGTTTCTGCTATGGCCGGGAATGTGGTAGAGGTGCTGCATTCATGACCCAAATCCTCGCAGTGATAAACAAAGAAGGTATCTTCATTTCACAAATAAGGACACTGAGAAACAGGCTCAGAAAGCCGAGCACACACCAAGACCAGCAACACAATCTGAGCTATGATCTGGCTGGTGACAGGACCATGTTCTGCTCACTGTAGTTCTCCACCTCTATTTTGTTTGGTTTGGTAAAAGATGGATGGACTGGGTGTCCTGAGAAAGAGTCTGGGGACTGCCTTCACATACATCAAGTGACGTCAAGTAGCAAAGATCAGACGCTAAGGTCATCCCAGAGTGGGTTAGACCCTAGGGGAAGGAAATGCCTAAAGGAGCAGCATGGGACTGTCCCTGAGCGCTGGATTCCAGACTCAGCTCTTGCCAAGGTTACCTATGAGGAAAGCCCCGTATGAGAAACTTTGTCTCCAACAGTTGGATTCAGATTTGTCATCCCATGTTGAGGGATAGGACATTCAGAAAGGCATCCCTGCCTGAAAAGAGATCTGAGCTTTCAAAACCAGTTGTCTCACCAAATGTAGTCAACATCATCACTTGCCTTGACTTGCCCACGATTAGCAAAAGAAACATTTAACACCAGCACTTTGCTTTGCTGGAGAAAGATGAATTAAAGATTGCAGATGACTGTTAAATCCTGGCTACTGAGTAATGATTATTGAAAGGGAATGGATATTACAAATCTTTTAAAACTTTCTCTCTTCTTCCAGATCCCAAGTGAAACAAGATTCTAAGGAAGGCATAACTCAGAGGGATTGTCACACAAAGAACAACTCTATGCCAACACACTTATTGGTAACTTCATACATTGTATGAAGAATATTCCTATTTGACAGAACTATGTTTCAAGCTTTTGGAACGAGTTTGTTCTAGCACGGTACAATAAGTTTGACATGTCTAGTCTGAATTTATGTAAATATTGCTACTTTTATACTATGTAGACTTGTCAAAAGAGGACAGTTCTCTGCTTCGTATGTGTTTTTGTAGCACTGGTGGATTGTCATCCATGTGACCACCTTCGTGGGTGTGTTTTGCAGTGTTTTTACACCATTGCTTCGAATCTTGTAATTTGTACAGGTAACACTAATGTGTGTCCATTTCAATTCGTTGTACAGTGAGTGTGTCTTATTCTGTCAAATCTGTTAGTTTGTTGCAAGCTGCTTGCTGTGGGTCCTTTTGTAGCGGCTCAGCCAGAAACCTGCTGCCTGAGAGTCTGCTAACAAGCCCTCTAAAAAGACGTCATCACCCAGATTTTGTGATCATCACTTCAACTTTTTACTGCATCTAACCTTATATTAGATTCAAATACAACCTTTCTGTTACTATGTCCTTACAACTCATTTTTGAGGTGAATCTTTATTTCCCCCCTCCCACTACTTTTTAGTATGAAAATTATACAATGCTATTTGAGAAAGATTGTGGAAGGTCAGAACAAAAGATATATATATATATTTATATATATATATATATTTAGATATATATATATATAAAGCCACGCATACAAAAGTCTGCAAAACATTCACAAAAGATGCATATTATGAAAATGAATGGATCTCAACAATGTTTCACATCCAGAGAAAGTTACCGTTTCATTCCTTTTTCCACTAACTTTTTGAAGAACCCTCAGATAAGCTAATAGGAGCTATACAATGATGAAGCAGGAAGGTGAGAAGTTGGCCATCATGACAGAAGCTAGTTCTTCCTGGTCTCAAAGAGGGAAAAGATGATGGGGGAAGTGGGACTTTGCATTTTTCATTGCTGGCCATCCTCATCTGCAACTCACATGACAGAGCGAAAGTTCTGGAGCTCCATTTTAACTGGACAAGGAGGTTCAACAAACCATGTCTCTCTTTTATAAGCAATGTTCTTTGTTCAAATTTGTATTTGTGCATGCCATGGAAATTAAACATCAACTCCAACAGAACAAGATGTGGTACCCTCTATTAAACATTGAACCTATTTGTCAGTGGGGAAAGCTGTTCAGGTGTCTTTGATTTTTACCTTCTAATGTGTGTTGTAGAGTGTCCTGCCATCCTTGGTTAATGCCTACTGAGAGAGCTTACCTAGTAGAGTTAAATCCAAAAAGGTAGACTTAAGATGTGTCACATGGCTAATCTTATTAAAAACTAGAATACCAGCACATTTTCTAACGCTTCTTAAATTCCTTGAGTTACAGGCAACTTATGGAATTTCATGTAAATATACACCTATGATTACTATAAATCACAGGTTAAGAACTTCTCCTTTATAGAGAATATAGAATAGAAACGGAAACAGAAGCCTCTGTTTGAGAGTGAAGCAAACTATAGGGTTCCTATGGAGTTGTCACTGATGATTGCATCTTACCAAGCCCTCCACTATGCTTGCCAGTCCACTGAACAGGGAACATGCACAGGTGCTTCAACTCTGGTGCCCATACCACAGTATCTCCCCCCTTAGCATCTCAGAGGTTCACACACTCCCATCTTAAATGCTGCTTTTCTCCCGGGTCACTGAGGTGGATACGCTTTGAGTAATGGGAAGCTGTGGGGCTGGGCTTCTCCATGCCAGCCTCAGAGCCAATACTGGAAACTAACTGGTGCAGAACTCTGGCTCTTGAATTTAAGAAGAGCTGGAGATGAAGATAAAACACATCAATCAGAGAGAGACTGAGGGGAACAGATGCAACTGAGACGCATTGAGATGCAACTGAGACGCAGTGAGACCCTTGAGAAGACACAAGTTACTGAAATTAAGTCAAATGCTAACGTGTATTGAGCACTTAACCTTTAAAAATCATTTTATGGAGGCTGGTGCTGTGCTGGTGTAGTAGACTAAATTGCTAACTGTGGTGCCAGCATCCCATATGGGCACTGGTTCTTGTCCCAGTGGCCCTGCTTCCCATCCAGCTGCCTGCTTATGGCCTGGGAAAAACAGTGGCAGATGGCCCAAAGCCTTGGGACCCTGCACCTGTGTGAGAGACCCAGAAGAAGATCCTGATTCCTGGCTTCAGATCATCTCCGTTCCAGCCACTGTGGCCATTTTGGAAGTGAGCCAATGGATGGAAGATCTCTCTCTCTTCTTCTTCTTCTCTCTACAAATCTGTCACTGATAAAAATAAAAATACTTCAATTAAAAAGTATTATTATAATAATCAGGCATTTGGTACCTATTCATGTCTAACCACAATAACTTTCCACCTAGAATGTAAGTGTGAGGGTTTAAGGGAAAGCCTGACCCCACGCTCCATGAACAAGAACAGGTAAGAGGGATCCTGAGTTCATTTTCCCCACATCTCCCTCTGGGTTTCAGCATGCTAAAGCTGCTCTCCTGACCTGCTCCTCCAACCTCTCTGACTGATACCAATTTTTAAAAGCCCATAGCCCATGGGGACTTCAAAAAGTTTGCAGAAAATGTGTATTATGAAAAAAAACCTACGTGTGGATTTCAAAGACTTTTTGCACAAAGGTAAACTTATTCCTTCATTCCACTTTGTATGTGCCTTTTGAAGTACCCTCATAGAAAACCACTAAGTTCCCACAGAAGTCTCCAGAAGGTGGATATTACGATTAATGTCAGGAAAGCACAGTAAAACAAGGCTCCGAGGGCTAAGTAACTCAGCTAAGTTGCATATTGCAGGTGGAAGAGCCAGAATTCCAAGCCCTGAGCCCGGATTTTGGATTATTTGAAAACCTTGTCTCCCAATGGAAACTAAAACCTGTCTCAAAACTAAGCTATCAAAGCAGGACCAGACCCAGGACTGACAGGGGCATCCTACAGATCCACTGCAAAGTCACTAATATTGCACTGTTTAAATACATCCAGAAACCTGTTAGAAAACAGCATTGTTCAGAGTGAAATGCACTTAGCATTTGCCTCTCTCTATGGTTTTGTGTATATTTGAAGGGATATATTGTAATGTAAAATTTGCTTCCTGACCATCACACTGTAAAAAAGAAATAATACATTTTTAAAATGTACTTTTTGAGAAAGTTTTAAGAAGGGCTATGCAGAATAATTCTTAGCTCTGTTAGAATGTAAGTCCATGAAAGTCAGGGACCAAGTTTATTGTACCCATCTCTGTACAGCCTATTTGCTTATATAAATATGTGAATATATGTATGTATTTGATAAGTATGTATATCGTATATATCCGTGTATAGTTTTCCCTAAGTCATCCATTTCTACATTCTTCTATTGCTCTCATCATCATCACTCATGTATATTATTAAAACACCTTCTGGCTGGTCTCACTGCTTTCTAATCCAACATGGAGCTAGACCGTTTCATTGCTGCACTCAGAAAGCCACCATACCTTCACAAGTCTCCCAGAGCAGGGCCAACATCTCTGTGGTGCCTAGGAGGTCAAGAAGGCCTCCGACCTTCACTCATCCTCACTCCAGCCCAGTCTCCTTGCTAGTTTTCAAATGTGCCCCATGCAATCCCACTTAGAGGCCCTTGCAGATTATGCCCTTTGCTCCAAACGCTTGGCCCAGCATAATGGATGTGTTTTGCCCACTTCATCTTTGCTGTGAGCTCAACCCTGCCCCCTCTCTTTAAAATTGCAACCCAAGCACTACCCCACATCCTTACTTTTCCTTTTGGTCCATAGGATTTCTATCACACCTCTTATTTGGCAATTCAATACTGTTTACAGATTGACCATCTGAACAGTAACGTATGCTAAGTGCTTTGCACTGAGTCTATTACATAAATATTTAAATGAATCTTTATGTTGTACACCTTAAGTACTCAGCATATAGTTATCAAACATAAAAGTGCTTCAAAAACCTCATGGAAAAATAGACTAGAAGACAAGTTTATTTTAGTGCAAAAAAATGTTGAAGCCATACAGTTTTCCCATAATGTGCATTTTCTTTGAATTTTTTTCAATTATCTTTTTATATAAAAGTAAGCATCCCTTTTAATTCCATTTCTCACCAAATATATATATATATATATATATCAATTTTTCAATGGGTGTCAAAGTTCAAGTGTGACCTCCACTGGGAAAAGCCAGCTATTCCTTGAGCACCATCCTCCACCTGACTCACAGGGACACTGGGACACCATCAAAGCCGTAGACATCCTGAGAAGGCCTGATAGAGCCTGTCTGGCACAAGTCGGAAATGGGGGCATTCCAGGGCTCTGAGCAATGCAGCTCCATTGGCACTGTCATCTTTAGGAGTGACTTTCCATTTCTCAAAGTGAGGTATCCAGCCTGTTACCGCCATTCGCACCAGAAACTGGCACTAACCCATTGTGCCGAGGTTACAGCCAACTCTCTTTTTGTTGTTGAGGATTTTTAAATTTTTCGTTTTGAACAGATTCATTATGGTTCACAGACACAGTTCTAAGACCATAATGATATTCCCTTCCTCTCTGCCTCTCTCCCTTTTGCCCCCTCTCTTTTCCCTTATATTATAGCTTTTAAGATTATTTTAAATTTATATTACAGAAAAAGGCTAAAACTTCAGCAAATAAGAAGTTTGACAACTCAAAAGCAAAAAAGACAGGTCCAGTGCAATTAGCTCAATTAATGCTTCCCCTTTGCAAGTGCTGGGATCCCATACAGGTACTGGTTCATGTCCCAGATGGCCACTTCCCTGCTGGTGGCCTGCAAAAAGCAGTAGAGGACGGCCCAAAGCAGACACTTGGGGAGTGAATCAGCTGACAGATCTTTCCTCTCTGTCTCTCCTCCTCTCCGTATATCTCACTTTCCAATAAAAATCAATAAATCTTTTAAATTTTTTTGCTTTTGCTTCCTTTGCTTCAGAGGTCTGATTTTAAAAATTTACTTTGTAATTATCATGACACTTAGAATAATCTCCTCTGGATTACAAGAAGCTATTTGAAACAGTAGTAAATTGACATGGATGATGAAGATGAAAAGCAAGCGCTGCTACAAATAAGGACCCCTAAACTTATATCCCAATCTTCCCAACGTTTTTGATTTTTTTGATTTCCCATTTGATACCTCTCTCTGATTCCTGCTACTTAACCTATTATTTTTAAAAAATTCAATGATTATTCACTGCACTGTAGAAACCTCTTGCTAGTGTTTTCCACCTGCTGATAGCTCCTTCCTCCCCACCTGATGCTATGTGTGGCTGGCAGTTTTTCCCTTCAGCTCCCTGACGTGATCATGCCACGCTGACCTGCCTGGAGGGTTCCTGCTGGGAAGTGTGCAGACAAGTGCACCGGAGCCCCTTTGTGAATTACTTGTTCCTTTACCCTAGCAGGTTTGAGGATCCTCTCTCCAAAGTTTTAACCTTGGAGAGCCTTACGTGGGTGCTGGGAGTGGGTTTGGTTGAGTTCAGTCTCGCTGGTGACTTCTGATCTTCCTCTAGAGTTGTCTCGTTGTCTCTAGGTGTGAAAAGCCTTCTGTTATTCTTTTTGGCTACACCTCATATCTCTTTAACATGTGCAAATCTCTCTGCATCCTCAATTACTCAAACACTTACTCTTTCCGTACTGCCCCAATGAGCCCTAAGCTTCCAACTGTGTATCTTCAAATATTCTTTCAAGTCACTGATTCTTCTGTTTGATCTATTTTACTAATGATGCTATCAAATTTTAAATTATGTTTAGCGTATTTTCCAAATGAATTATTGCCTTTTGAAAATTATTTTCCCCTGCTCAGTCTCTTTGTTGTGATCATTAAGTCAGGGCTGGCAGTGTGGCACAGGGGATTAAACCATTGTATTAGACCAATGGCATTCCATATCAGTTTCAGTCCCTGCTACTCTGCTTCCGATCCAATTCCCTGCTCATGTGCCTGGGAAGGCAGCAAGATCATGTGCCTGAGCCCCTGCCACCCATTGGGAAACCCAGATGGAGTGCCAGGATCCTGACTTCTGTCTTGTTCAACCCTGGCAACTGTGGCCATTGCGGCCATTCGGGAGATAAGCCAGCAAACGCAAGATCTCTCTTTGTGCATTTGCATCGCTTTGCCTTTCAAATAAAATGATTTTTTAGAAGAGTAATTAAATAATTTATCAGAGTCCCCTTGAAGTTTGCTATCATAAAACAGATATTTTTAAATTTTTCATCCAAACATATCACAATGTCACAGTCCTAGATGATTGGTTTCTGGTTCTTTGGGTCAAGTCATGGTTCCTCAGCGTTCTTAATGCATCTGAGAATTGTAGTTGTCATATGACATCATCTGCACATTAAAGGATTAGTCTTTTTTTTTTTTTTTTTGCAGTCTTCATAATCTTTGTGGTTATCCTTCCACAAATTGTTAACGGTTCACTTAATATTCTCTAAACCTGTGGACACTTCAGGGGCCTCAGCACTAGGTGGCGTCCTACACTTGTGGCTTGCTGCAACTCGGCTCCCACTGTATCTTGGCTGCCCAAGTGATGCTGAGGTGACTTCACTCACATCCACAGTTGGCAAGCCAATCTGAATAAAACGGGAAGAGGAGCATCAAAAAGTTGTCCATCTCCACAAGCCTCTTCTCAGGAGCCAAGCAGAGGTACACACCCAATTCTGTGGCCACCAGTGCCACCCCAACACCCCACAGCCTGCCCAGACAGTGCAGGGACCAGAGCCCACCTTGTTATGGTCCATCAGCTGCTGAGACAGGCTCATGGCCTGAAGCCACTACAACTAGACCCTTAGTGAGGCAGGCTGGAATGTTAAGTCTGACCCACTAGAGACATGAGACTCCATCTGTGCCAGGGCAGATCCAGAGCTTTCGCCACACGAGGCTGACAGGGATACATGCTGGGCTACAGACTTCTCCACTTGAAGCTGGGTCAAGTCTGCCAGTTTGTTCTGTGGTCACTGGCATGGGGATCGTGAACAGATATACCCCAGGTTGGGTTTTACCAGCCAAGGCACTGAATTCTAAGATGCAATCCAGTGGTTCCTTGCTTTCTGCTCAAGTTGACAGATGGCCCGGGGGGGCATCCAGGTTGGCATTAAGCTGTGTCACCTGTTTAATCTTGGGGTACACACCAGGCCAAGGGTGATGGTACAGATGCGAAAAAAAGGCAACTCCCACAGGGTGCATATTTCCAAAGCCAGACGACTAAGGAGAATGCACCCACCACACAGGAGCCAGGGCCTTCGGGCTCTGTTGGGCAACAGGGCTCACAGCAGTGGCTAGGAGACGCTGCCCTCCTGTCCATCGACTGCAACCTTGAAGCACTGATGGAGACTGGAGGAGGGGTGACAAGTGGTTCCTCAGCTGCCAGTCTGCTGGCCTGACCCTGATACCAAGCTTCCAGTGGTGAGATTTGGGCTCCATTCCTTTCCTTTCGGGTAAGCCAGGAGAAGCCACACTGGGAGTCCCAGCAGAGGTCATTGAGGTCATTTTCTGCTTTCTTCGGTGCCAATGCTACTTTTCTGATCATACCCAAACCAGGTGCTGTGTGGTCTCTCACCTGGCCTCTGCGAACGCACATGAAGGCGAACTGGTGCTCCTGGGGGGTCATCGCTAGATCGCCCTCCTCAGCTGCCAGCTTGCCCTACCCCCTCCAAACCTGCAGGACTCACAAAATACTGCATGGAATATGGAATAGGACGCTTCCCAGGGCACAGAGCCCATCTAGGTGCCAGATCTGCAACCCAAATAACTAGATCCACAGCATCAAAGGGTGTGTTTTGTTTTGTTGTTGTTTTTAAAGATTTACTTTTCTTGGAAAAGCAGATTTACAGAGAAAGATCTATCTGCTAGTTCACTCCCCAAGTAGTTACAATGGCCGCAGCTGGGCCGATCTGAAGCCAGCAGCCAGGAGCCTCATGGTGGTCCATGCTGCTGCAGGGTCCCAACGCTCTGGGCCATCCTCAACTGCTTTCTCAGGCCATAATGAGGAGCTAGATGGGAAGCAGAGCAGCCGGGATATGAACCGGCGCCCATATGGGATCCTGGTGGGTACAAGACGTGGGTTTAGCCATGAGGCCATCACACCGGACCCGGCATCAAAGCTCTAAGATCATGTACGTCTGAAGAGGAGCCTGTTCCCCAGGAGAAGGGCTAAGGGTGTTGTTACTTTTTAAACAATTTTACATTTTCTCAGATATCTGGCTCTTGTGTGGCTGAAAGTGAGTACAAATCTCAAAACAGACAGTTTACAGGTTTTAAAAAGTAACAGGAAAGTATGGGCCCTGCCTGGTAGCCTAAACTCCTCACCTTGAAAGTGCCGGGATGCCATAAGGATGCTAGTTCTAATCCCAGCAGCTCCACTTCCCATCCAGCTCCCTGCTTGTGGCCTGGGAGAGCAGTCGAGGACAGCCTAAAACCTTGGAACCCTGCACCTGTGTGGGAGACCTGGAGGAAGTTACTGGCTCCTGGCTTCGGATTGGCGCAGCATCGGCCATTGCCCTCACTTGGGGAGTGAATCATCGGGCAGAAGGTCTTTCTTTGTCTTTCTGTCTCTCCTCTTTTCTGTATATCTGACTTTGTAATAAAAATAAATAAACCTTGAAAAAAAAAAAAGAAAGTAAAAGGGAGAAATTTTTGATCTGAAAGTAGCAAAGGGGAAAACAATTTTAGAGGCAGAATACTTAACAAATGGGCTTGGGGCCCAGCACTTGGCTGTTGCTAAATCCTTGCCTTGTAAGAGTTGGGATACCATATGGGACTGGTTCGTGTCCCAGCTGCTCCACTTCCCATCCAGCTCCTTGCCTGTGACTTCGGAAAGCAGTGGAGGACAGCCCAAAACCTCGGGACCCTGCACCCGTGTGGGTACCTGGTGAAGGCTCCCGGCTCTGGATTGGCTCAGCTCTGGCTGTGGCCAGCGGGGAGTGAACCAATGGACAGATCTTTGTCTCATTCTCTTTGTAGATCTGCCTTTCTGATAAAACTAAATCTTTAAAAAAAAAAAGCATTGGGCTTAAACACAGTATGGGGTTGGTCCTCACAGCTTAGAATAGAAATGGAACATTCTCAAGTTACAATACAAAATATCACATTTTGGAATGATTTTTTGTTTCAATCCTATGATTCTATAATTCAGCAAAATTGAAAAATTTAAAGCTAAGAAAATGAGAAAGTCAAAGTTTAACGCTTAAGTGTTGTTTTAACGGTTCTGTTTATAAACTTTCCCCTTCAATTGAGGAAAAGTATTATTAACCAAAACAAGCCCAAATCAGCTGGACTACCACTGTGAAACCTCTCCTAAGCCCATACAATGAGGCTCTGCTAGGCAGAGCGTGTAAAACTGCTGAGTTCTGCTTGGTTTCCAGGACATGAATCATTGACCAATGAGGAATAGCACATCTGCTTTAATCAGAATATATGCAAGTATGATTATATCAAACTCATTTGACATCAATATGCTAATTTGATGGCTAATAAGAGAAATGCTGTAGAATGTAACTTGTAAATTTTATTCAAATATTCACAAATGTTTTTCAAAAGCATCTATGAAAATGGACTGAGGACCTCCAAAAGGGGTGACAACTCCTCCACTGTTTTTACGACAAAGCCTCAAGTAGTTCTATATACTGAATACAGAACCACTTCCTGTATTTCTACAAGAACTGCTCCGCAGGGTCTGTATTATGACAGGGTGGGTTAAGTTGCTGCCTGCAACACCAGCACCCCACATGGTCACCAGCTTGAGACCTGGCTGCCCCACTTCTGTTCCAGCTTCCTGGAAAAGCATGGCCCAACTTCCTGGGCCCCTACATCTTGGTGAGACACTTAGACCCGGGAGAGGAGGCCGGGTTGCCCTGGCTTTCGCTGGTCCAATCTCAGCTGTTCCAAGGATTTGAGGAGTGAACCAGCACAACGAAGCCGTTTGTTTCTCTGTATAACTGATTTTCAAATAATAAAGTTTTAAAAATGTGTTCAAGCGCCAGTTCCATTCACATTTTAGTACATCCAATGAGCATTTACACAGCAACCAAATAACTGCTTCTTTACAGAGACAAATTGGATCATTTCTTAAAGTTTTTGCAACAAATCTTTCCCCAAATATCACATGTTCTTCAACATGCCACCGGAAGAGCTATAGCACTCAACTTGTTGCTTTTAATCTTTTAGTGACCCTAATCTTACCGTATAACACTAACAACATAAATGCGGAACGTGTTGCATCTTCCCAAGTACGTCATCATTAATCAAGAATTCATCTAGGCAAAACAGTATTTATGCTTCCATTTTATTGTTTTAAGAATCAACTGCCACCTCAGTAGTCTTCAGAGCAATATAATGAAACATACATACATTTAATTTAGACTTCTGATCATCATAGCTTCAAAGGCGTCTCTGAAATAAGGCTGGGATTCACACGTTTCCTTGAGGAAACAAACACTAACATATTTCGTAATCCTTGCACCTGCCTGCCCTCATTCAAACCATTAACTAACGAATTCAAGTCTAACACCGTTCAAAAATTTTGTCCTCTACAAGACATTCACCTGACCTGCTTCCCTGCATAACACTGACTTATTAACTAACTGAAAATAGGTCCGACTGTAAAGCCTCTAATTAATTATTCTCTTAACAAGTGAAACTTTATGACACTGATTTTTTTTTTAATTCAACACATAGTCTAAGTGGTGACTTACCACATTCAACTCTAAATTTCAACAGAAAGAGAGCTCTTCTGAGAAGCTCTAAAGACAATCTGGCAAAGAAAGGCTTGGATTTCCAACAGTTGTTTTAACAGCTCCTAAACAGAGGCATGGAGAGAAGCCACGTTCACACGTGTCCAAGTACCCACAGCAACGCGACAGAAGCACTCACCAACGGCGGCTCACTCCCCACTCCATGCTTCTAATAACAAGAACTTCTCACTAGAAAGAGTGCATTAACACTGGACTCTCAAACTGCTAAGGGTGAAAAACCACTCACTTAAAAGAAAAAAAAAAAGTATTAATTTTTTTTTGGCCAAAACAGAAACGGCCATTTGTATTATTTCTAACTTCTGGTCTAAGTTCAGAAACGACTTTGTATCTGGATTATCCAAGGTGAGAATCTGTTTTACCTGTACCTGACAGCATAAAATGCTAAATTAGCAACAGCTTACCTTTTTGTCAAAAGAAATATGTTCTAAATTTATATCCTACAAGCTATCTAATAAATGATATCTTCATACTACACATTTCATGTTTTTATTATGCACCATTGGGGGGGGGTCTTCACAGGGGTTGAGTCAAAGGATAAAGAAGATATCCTAAGAACGCTGATTTAGACTGAGTTCTGTATAAACTGTAAGTGGTCATCTCAGCTGGACTGCAACAAGCCCCTATCATGTAAAAGCTGACTCTAAAGGCACCTTAGGAAGCACTGAAAGTCACAATTTAGTTCATTTTTTTCTTTTCCAATACAAAATTATCTGGTAGTTTTCATCGTTGACTCCATGCTAAAGTCTAAGCAACAGAAGGAATAGAAAACAATAGTTTTTAAATGTCAAGTTAGAACGGGACGGGGTGGGGGGGGGAGAAGCTCATCACACAGCAATGAAACCTGAGCAAATGTAAGTTGGTGATTACAAGAAAAAGTCCTTCATTAATACAGTATTCAAATTCCTCCATGGCAGTCAAACTGTAGATTCAAATCTAATCAAGAGCCCACTTAACACAGGATCAAGCTCTACCATGAAATGAGGAACTATATTATAAAGCCTATTTAGTCCTACATAGTTAGCTTAAGAAAATGAACAGAACACATTTCATCTAAATAATACCATTTAAACAGTTCTATATAAAATAATGTTACTAGAGATTACTAAGTGTGGTGCATCCTGATTCCAGCCATTCAGTATGAAAGCATCAATGAGGGCCTGAGGGACGGCGCCCCCACCAGCACGGTGCCCAGAGATGGCTTAGTCACTCGTAATGCCTCCTAGGATGACAGACGCAGCTCAGTCCTGGAATTCCAATGCATTCTCTCTGGTGCGCCCAGGCTGCCTCAAACGGAAAGGCCTCCCAGTGAAATGCATTATATGTTTAGTATACCTCAAAATTTCAGTGCCTATAATGTGAAATAATTCTTTATCATTTAACAGTCTGCCTTAGAGCAATTTTTAATAGATTTTTACCTTTAAGATTTTATTGTAGCTTTGGGAAATTAGTGGTAACATGGGGTTTTTAAAAACAGTATGTGGCTGCACTTAAATTCACATAAAAATAGTATTTTTACAACCATACTGAAATTTAATCCTTTTACACAGGTTAACAAAATGTATCACAAGGAAAACTAAACATTGGGTTTAACAAAAGCAATACTTTTCAAAGTGGAACAATGAAAATTGTTTTCAATTTTTTACAAATCGTCACCTCTGGGTCAATCTACTGTACTCAGGGAGCAGAGATGTTAAAATATAACTGTGCTCAACTGAGCCACCTCTCTGTACTATAGTACTTGAAATCAATCCTAAGGTCGAGATTTAAAAGCATTTCAAGAGACCAGACCCTATGTTTTACAGCCACCTCAGTAAGTGGCACCGTTCAGTCCCCACACAATCCGAGCTGAGTTACAACATTGACTATACACAAGTTTTTCCTTTTTTTTTTTCCTCATCACATCTTCAGTTCACAATACTATCATCATTGGTAATACGGTCTGTATCTTGTCTGATCTGGATGATGTGGTCCAGGAAGTGGGGTTTGAGAAGGCGGACCCTGCATTCGTGGAGGAGGTGGTGGCCCTCTTGGTGCGGGCCATATACCAGGACTCATTCCCCCAGGCTGAGTAAATGGAGGACTCAGAGTTCCTTGATCTTCAGTGAACTGGGGCAAAGAGTTAGGATTATAATGGTGAGGAGGGGGTGCAGTTACAGGTGGGCCACCATGCTGAGGTGGGGGAGGTCCTGGAGGAGGATGGTTCATATAAGGTGGCATCTGGGCAATAATATGTCCAGGGGGAGGGGTGATTGGTGGGGGAGCAGAGGTCATTGGTGGAGGTGGAGCTTGGCTATACACCAAGTGAGGAGTACCTGCGGCCTGGGGAGGATGTGGCATTGGATGGCTTATAGGTGGTGGAGGAGGTGGGGGTGGTGCATAATGTTGCTGTGGAGGCATAATATGATGAGGGTGCGACACCACTGGCTGACCCTGATACTCAGGGTGGTGGTGAGCAGGTGCTGGGGCAGGAGGTGGCGGTTCTCTAGCACCTGAACTGGAGTCATCCTGAATAGGGACAGTTATTAAATTGCTGTGTTTTCTTGTTGAAATACGAAAGGTTTCCTGACTGACCGGGCGAGGTGGAGGAGGAGCCATGGCCAGTTCCGCCGGCGGAGCACGGATATCCTCGTGAGGCTGGCTGTAGTGCTCGTGGGGCACGTGCTGCAGGGGCGGCGGGGGCATCAGGATGTGCTGCTTTGGTGGAATGTGGCTCAGGTGGTGCTTGTCTGGCGGCATTATAAAGCGCTCAGGGATTTCAGCGGGAGGCGGGGCAATAGGCGGATGAACGGTCTCCAGCGAGGCTCGGGGAACAGGTTTTCCAGCTCTCATGTGGCGATGGTTGATGTGCGCCTGCAAGTCTCTCTGCGACAAGTAGGTTCTCTTGCACCCCTGAACAATGCTACACATGAAGAGAGACCCTCGTGTGCACTGCTCAATTCGCTGCACAGGATCACTACAGCTAAATCAGAGGAGGAAAAAATCATGATTTACTAAAATAAAAATATTTTTTTAATGTGCTCATTTTAAATTATGGTACTTAAAATGAGACTCCAACTTCCCTCACAGTTTTTGTTCCATTACCTATGGAGTATCAGCATTTCTAACACCTCAGAAATACTAACATGAGAATAAATTTAAAACTATTTATCAGAGTGTTTAAAGAGACCTCATTCTTGCTGAGATTTGAATTCACCTAATTTCCTCAAACAACTAACCATTACATCCACTTACAAAAAATCACAGACAAGCGTTAAGGGTCTCGCTGCTGACCACTGAATGGGAACTAACACAGTATTACTTAGCAACAGCATGTGCTGCACAAACCATAGTAAGTGGAAGAAACTAAGTGGAAGACACCCACAAAAAACGCAGTATAAAGATGACCCGAGGCCCCAGCGGTGTGGCCTAGTGGCTAAAGTCCTCTCTTTGAACGCCCCGGGATCCCATATGGGTGCCGGTTCTAATCCCAGCAGCTCCACTTCCCATCCAGCTCCCTGCTTGTGACCTGGGAAAGCAGACAAGGACGGCCCAAAGCCTTGGGACCCTGCACCTGTATGGGAGACCCAGAAGAAGTTCCTGGATCCTGGCTTCGGACCGGCATAGCATCGGCCGTTGCGCTCACTTGGGGAGTGAATCATCGGACGGAAGATCTTCCTCTCTGTCTCTCCTCCTCTTTGTACATCTGCCTTTCCAATAAATAAATAAATTAAAAAAAAAAAAAAATGACCCGAAGGCTCAAGGGTCATTGATTAATCTCAACCAGACAGTCCACAAAGATTTTTTGCAATGTCAGACAAATGTACTACTAAAAATTAGAAATTAGTACAGTTCCTGCCTTTCTAGATTGCGATTACTAAAATTAATATTTTCTTAATGACTCAGACTCAAAATTCAAATTAGTTTCCATTTACTTTATTCTTGCCTTTAGTTTTCTTGACATCATGTAAAGAGGACTGAGGTGGAAATCCCAAGCTCTGGGATGCACCACATTTATCCACTCTCACTTTTTTTTTTTAAACTATTTCACCTTAAGAGTATACTTAACAACAAATGAAACAGGGAAAGTCTTTAATCATCAGTTAAGCCCTACATATGTACAGATAAGTTATTATTATTAAATACGCCAGTTGATCAAACCATTAACTGAGTCATTTGATAATTATAAGTCATTTACTCTTACATTAAATGTTCTGTATTCTTAACTCTGAGTTGGTCATAAAGTTGGCGTTTGTTTCTAGTACGCCTCCTCCCTTCAAGACAGTCCCAGATGGACCTAGTTTTTCGTTATTTGTTTGAGTCTATGTCATGGTGGTACTGTAAGACATACTCAAGACAGAACTGGATCTTACACCTACCTACATTTGCTTACTACGTGCCTAGAAAGCTAAGACAGATACACAGACACCCCTAAAACTAGCCTGAGAAGGAGGTACTATTAGCAGCCATACTCGTCTAAGAAACAGCCTGTGTCACTCAGCTAACAGACAGCTGAAGACCCTTGGATTTCAATTCTGGAGTACCTGCTCCAAATCCATACCATACTATCTAATATTCCATGAAGAAAAATTTTAATAACCCTTTCTGATTGATACTACTACTCCAAATTCTACATGGCAGATTTCATCATTTTCCCCCAATATGAACTGACAGCAGTTACCTGGATCTTCTTTAGAAAAAGGCTCATCATGACTACACACTGGACCTGATTTTCCACACAGTTTATGAATCATTCCACTACAACCTCAACTGTTTAAACAAGATGAGCGCAGGTGTCTGGACTAGCAGGGCAATGCCCTTGCCTGTACTGGACGGCCCAGGGTTGGGTGCTGGCTCTACTCCCAGGTCACCCCTGATGGGCAGCAGGGGATGACTGATGTTGGGTCCACGTCATCTACACGGGAGACTTCCAGTCATCTCTGGCCTGTCCCAGCCTCGGCCGTTATAAGCCATTTTGAAAGTGAACTAGTGGATGTGAGTGTTCTCTTAGACAAAAGAGAGAAAAGAAAAAGATTTTATAAATTAACAATAAAAATAATGATCTTCTTACCCTGGACACATCTTATCTCCCTTTTTCTCATGTAAAATAGCACAGTCATAGCAAAAAACATGCTTGCATGGAATCTGTAAACAAAGATATTATAATTAGGCATACTAGAATAACCTAAATATTTCCATAAAAAACATCAGTAAGTGTAATAACCTACAGCTGGAAGGCACATCAGCACTTTTTAAACACTTATTAACTCTTAATTATACAAAAGCAAGTCAACCTTTGGCCCTTTTCCTAAGAAGTTAACTCATAGATGTTTGTTTTTAAGAGGTAATAATCCTGTCTTACTCATGACCCTTATAAGTTAAATACTCCTGACAACACTGCAATCATATTTCACCTCATCTTGTTTCTCTTGAAACTTATAAAGAGGTAAAAATAACAAGTATGTACTATATTTAACTAGCTTTCTTTCTGGTAGTCTCACATGAAAACTCATTAAAAAAAATTCTAACAGTAAATCAGAACACCAGTAAAATGCTGTTGGAACCACATTTTAAAATTTACAGTCTAACACTGTTACTTTGGTATGATTACAGCAAAGCCACAGTGAATCAACCATGCTCTCCATCACAGACATGAGAATAATAGAGAATTCCATCTTTCTTTCAAACACAAATGCAAAGCTAAGACAGAACATGTTAAAGTTACTATAAAATTACAGTTAGGGTTATAAAATTTATTTCAGTGATTACAATTCAAATTTCAGAAATTACAAGTATTATCTATTCAAACTTTGTATTCAAAAAGTATCCTTCACTCTCTGACATTGTCCATGCCTACCCTGTCAGGAAACACTTCAATAACAACAGGATGGACCTGTGGCTGTTCATGAAGGACATCCATTGGAAAACCAGAGGGGAAGTCAAGAGGTCGGGGGGGGGGGAGTTCTGGGGAAGGGCACGGGCAACCCCAGAGCCTTTGGAACTATATCACAAAACAGAACCAAAAACGTTTATATGTGAAAAAAAGAGTAACCTTCAGAAATGAGTAAATGATGTTATTCTAGTCTGTTAAGAACAGGACATTTCCAAGAATCTCGTCTGGGTCCACTCAGACAAAGTTTCTTTGGTGATCTCCCCAGTTGAACTGCCGGACTCAGAAGCTTAACCACAGAGAGAAGTGCAGGTTCCATGGTCTGCCATGGAGTGCAAGTGCCAGAGCCGAGCCTCCTCAGAGGCTCCGACGGGGCAGTGGAGAGCATAACCAGCTGCACATGGAGGATGTGGCAGTCTATTGGAACCTGCAGAGGACACCTGGCACCACAACAGAGGACAGAACAAATCAATCAACTACCCCAGCCATATGTTGGCAGTGAAAAACTGGCAAATGGAGACTCTAAGGTGGACTATGTCAATCAGTGGATTCTGCAGAGACTTCATTGTGCTTGGAATGGCAACACTGCAGCAATTCAGAACTGTTGAACCATCAAAACCACTTGAGCAAGACCCTCAGAGCATGCCCCACATCGGGGACCTGGGATGGGCAGGAGACTTGGTGGGGCTTTTCCCTTTACCTCCCCCATTACCCGAGATTCAGAAAAACAATGTAGAAATAACAGTCTTACCCACTTTCCTGTAGTCCTTGAACCTTTGTGCCTTAATTAACTATATAAAGATTGTCAAAAATAAAAAGGGGTGTTTCCTTAAAAAACCACAGTAGGTATAAACTAATTGGTATCAAATAGACCAAGTTTCCCAATTCTCTTAGCTAGTTCATATTTGTTCACATTTATTTGAACTAAAATGTCACAAACTAAGTTTTTAAATAATGATTATCTACTCAGTAAATCTCAGGATCCTACCTGGACACAAATACACAAATTTACAAACCACATTTGACCAGGCTTACCATTCGTCCGTAGATTTTAATAGGTAATCCACACTTGTCGCAGAAGTGAACTGGCGTATCATCCTTTTCACCCAAGATGTTTATCTGTTAAAATGACATAATTTAAATTTTCTTACTCCTAAAAATCATATGGATAATATAATTCCAAAAAGCCTATCCATAATAAATAGCTGGTATTTTATAAAAGATGCTGAAACAATTGGAGACCAAAGGGGTGGTACTGCAGGCTAATCTCCTGCCTATGACACTAGCATACCAAATGGGTGCTGCAATTAATCCTGGCTGCTCCACTTTCAATAAGCTCCCTGCTAATGACCTGGGAAAGCCACGGAGGCTGGCCTGTACTCACATGGGAGACCCAGAAAAAGCTCCTGGCCCCAAGTTTTGAACAGGTCTAACTCTGGCCATTGTAGCCATTTTGATCTCTCTCTCTCTCTTTTTCAAATAAAATAAACACATCTTTCAAAGAAAACTTTAGAGGCTTCCTGGTATAATACCCACATATACATCATCATTTGCTGTGCCTTAGTTCATGTTTTTAAATAGCTAATGGTTATCAATCATATTTGACTTTACTGAAAATTATTGCAAATTATTTTTGGAAACACAACAAGGCATTCATTAAACAAATGACTTATGTGTATTCAAAGTTGTAACATTAGGAAAATCTTACAACAGAAAGTCTTACGTATTCTACATTGCTCTAAAAAACACCTCAGGTATTTAATACCTATTTTAATGCATTCATTTTTAGTCTTACCTGAAAGTCCCAAAAAAGGTGTCCAGGAAATCTCCGCTGATTTCCAAACAGTTCACCCCCTTTACAGTCATAGCGTTCTTCTTCATTATAATCAAATCCTTCTGAGAAAAGAGAAGAGTCTTTCACTTTTTAAATCTTAAATTTCATCTGGGAAATGTACATACCTAACAAAATAGGCTTTTTCTCTGGCAAACCCACCCAATGACTTTCAAAGCTCTGCTATGAACAAAATAATCAAGACTAGTTTGAAATAGCAGTAAGAAGTATACTTGGAGATTCTCTGGTCCAACACTACTGAGAACACTACAACACAGAGATCTGTAATAAGGCCACCGGTCAGTGGGAGCTTCAGAAACAAGCTCAGCCCGGGACTCGCATCAATTCACCAGGTCAGCTCTAGTGCGAAACGTCACTGACCACATCATCATTTGTTGCACACATTTTTAATGTATACTGACCATTATTTATTCTAATCTAGCTACAGAAGCAATATGCTGCAAGACTCTGATTTTATTGCAAAAAGGAAAATAATAAAATCAAAGAATTCTGCAGACTTTGTTACTTAGTAAATTATAAATCACACTTTCTCTTCTTCAGCTCTAATCTGAGCTGATTCAGGAATCAATACATTCATTCTTCATCCTTTCACTTCTTTCCTGATTAATCCCCAAATAACAGGAGCCAAATGAAACTTACAACTATCCTGTCCTATACTGCACATATCACTATCAATAAACTTAAGACAGGCTGCAGATCAAGTAGGCTCAAATGCTCTGGTCTGATTAAGATGTAGATGGCAACTCTCATTTTAAACAAAAGAACAGAGAATCAGCGAACAGTCTGATGGGAATTCTAGATAGAATCCAATTACCTAAAGTAAAGCTGAGAAGACCAATATATCTCTCCAAGGTACCAGGCTTCTCACGGCTCTTTTGGCCCTAGAACTGTAACAGAGTAGCCAAAGCACACAGGGTCAACTTTACCCTCCTGGCTAAATTACAGCACCTGTGCAGACAGACACACACACCCCATACAAACGGTGAAACAAGAACGTTCTGAAGTTGGTAAGAGATACTCCAATAAACTGCAATTAAGCAATTCCAATATAAACGTACAGTTAAAAATAAAGGTGGGCTTACAATCTACACTGGACACCTAACACTACTTACATGACCCATCCATTCCTTATGAAAAGTGGTGTCACGCACAATTCAGACTAAGAAAAACAACCAATTTTTCAAATGCAGAAAACTACTGAGATCAACAGCCAAGGAAATTAATAGCATGTTATCATTTTTCAGAGTAGTTCAAGCTGTATTCTTATCATTACGTTTCACACTCAGATACACTGGTACCCAAAACTCCAATTTAATTAATGCCTAGGGAAAAACATAATTTCCTTTTGTTTTAAATCAGCTAATCTTAAAGTATTCAATAATCACCTTAACAACTGTTCCCTCTAAAAAAGGCTATGGGCTTGAGAGCAGGAGGAAATGGAGGAAGCAAACGAGAAGTGGGAAAATTTTTTTTTTTTGAAGATTTATCTATTTTTATTGGAAAGTCAGATACACAGAGAGGAGAGACATAGAAGATCTCCCGTCCACTGATTCACTTCCCAAGTGGCCTCCACAGCTGGAGCTGAGCCAATCCGAAGCCAGGAGCCTCTTCTAGGTTTCCCACGTAGGCACAGGGTCCCAAGCCTTTGGGCTGTCCTCTGCTGCTTTCCCAGGCCACAAGCAGGGAGCTGGATGGGAAGCAGGGCCGCCAGAATTAGTAACGACACACATATGGGATCTTGGCGCATGCAAGGCGAGGATTTTAGCCACTAGACTAACACACTGGGCCCACTATCTGGCTTTTTATTATCTGGCCTTGCAACCCTACATCCATGTGGGAGATTCAGAGGAGGCTCTGGGCTCCTGCCTTCAGATCAGTGCAGCTCCAGCCGTTGCAGTCACTTGGGGAGAGAATCAATCAATCAATGAAAGATCTTCCTCTCTGTCTCTCCTCCTTTTTGTATATCTCACTTTCCAATACAAATAAGATAAACCTTAAAAAAAAAAAGCCAAATAGTAAATCCTCATGTGCTTCCTAAGTCACATGGTGTTTAGCACAGTTACCCAGCTCTGGCAACATGAAAGCAGACATGCACAATACTACAATAAACAGACAAGGCTGAATAGCAGTAAGGCTAGGTGAAACGGGACCAAATGTGGCCCACTGACAGATAAGATAGGAAAACTGGCTCACACACATGGAGTAAGGGAAGGCCATTCTAAAACCATCATAAAACCAGGAGGTAACAAGGACTGGGCATCTGATGCATAGACTATTTAACGTCTCTACAACAAACACTTCACAGACAAAATTCAAAAGATAAATGGGGAGCATCAGCTTTATAAAGAACTCAAAAAAATCTGAAGAAACAGCCAAACAGAAAACTGGGGAGAGGACACTGGGGTGTGTATTTGAGTCCCGATTCCTCCACTTCTGGTCTACCTTCCTACCAAAGCACCTGGGTCTCTGCCGTCCCCTCGGGAGATCGCTGGACACTTCCTGGGGGTGAACCAGCAGACTGAATGTATCTCTATCACTCTCACTGTCATTCAGCCTTTCAAATAAGTGTTTGTTTCTTTAATAAATGTCAAAATTTGTACAAAGTGCAGAATTCTACAAAGTATACATGAACAAAGATATCTGCTCTAACACTGTTATAACAAAACTCAAAACTATTTAAAATAAATTAGTTTACCCATAATGAAATAAACCTATTTTTGCAAATGAGGTACACCCATACAAGCCTAAAAAACATCAAATGCGTATTAGTTTTTAAAAAGCAGTTATACACAAAGCATTTAAAAAGGTATTTAAGTCTTTTTTTTTTTAAGGCACTTACATGTGCTGGCTGGACAGCAGTAACCCCCCCACACATCCTTCTCCCAGGCAAGTCCAAAATCTGGGGATGGAAGTGGGCCTACTAGGGAAACTGCGGACCTCTCTATGGGGCTGCTGTTTCCTCTACGAAGCTTGAGTGCCAGGACTGGGGACAAGCTAGGCTGGACAGGGCAAGAGCACACATGTGCGCTGGGTGTGGGAATGGGTCAGGCTGACCTAAGCTGCAGCACCCGTGGCTGTGTAACAGATGGATGGGATGTGGGGCAGGCCAGACGAGACTGTTGTACATGCTGGCATCCTCAGAAACTGAGGCTCAGACAGAGGTGATAGGAATTACGAGGGGTCACCGCTACTAGGCTGTAATTCCTGCTAGCATGTGTAAGGGCTGAGGGTGTGGCAGGGAGGGTGGGCTAGGCCGCAGCACCTGTCGGTTTGCACGGGAGATGGGGCTGGAGACAACTGCATTCATGGGTATGTGCACAGACTGATGCGGCTGAGAGACTGAGCCAGACCCTGCACTAGCTGGCACACACCAAAAGGCAGGTCTGGGGTCACCCCCAACACGGTTTCTTGGGGGACTCTGTTGGACTCAAACTCTGGCCACAGAGAAAAACTGTAACATATGTGGTTCAACTTTTAAAGGCATGTGTCAGGACTGGACCTCCTCGGTTGTTGATGCCTGTGCAGTGGACAGCACATCAAGACGCATAAGCGGGACGTAACAGCCAGCTCATCTAGGCCAGCAGAGTATGTTGAGTACCTTGTCCGAGGACGGAAAGCAGAACAGGCTAGACAGCACTCCTGGCCAAGTTTTGCAGTGTGCTCCTGGGATCGTGGATGCACTACGGCAGACTTTGTCAACCAATAGACCTTAGATTTTCTCAACTCTGGAGCAATGAAACCAACCACATCTCAGAACTATCAAAACAATTCAAGTGACACTCTTGGGAACATTTTTTCCCACATTGGGTCACTAAGATACATCAAATGACTGTTCCCTTTCTCCCCACAAGATACAGAAGAGAAAAAAAAAAAAAAACCAAAAAACAAAACTGGAAACATGTCTTCCATTCACCTTCCTCCACTCCTCGACCCAAACCACCCTAATCAGTGGCCCACACGGGCATCCGTCCTTCTCAACTATGTAAACATTAAACATAAAATTTTTAAAAAGGGGGAGAGCAATTATACAGAGCCAATCTTCTATATAAACAGTCTTAAAAAAAAGTCTCTTTGAAAGGCTGAGTTGAACAGAGAGATATGACACCAATGATTCACTTCCCGAAGGCTGCCATAGGAAGCCTAAACTCCACTTTGGTCTCCAGCCTGGGTGCCAAGAGCCCTGGCATGGCTAGCTTCCACTGTTCTCACAGGCGCATCATCAGGGAGCTGGACTGCAAGTGGAGCAGCCAGGATTTGCAACGCCAGTCTCTAAAACAGCCTAGCAGAAATTACTTTTGAAGAAATGGATTGTGAGAAGAGAAAGACACTGAACTTTCCATGTCATGCTTTCCACAATACTATTTAGATCAAAAAGGAGGGAGAGGGCAAGGCTATTGTTACCAACAAAAGAAACCAAACCAAAGTATTTGAAAGGGAGGAACAAAGCAAAATGTGCCAAAATAAGAAGTCAACAAAAAGGGAAAGAGTCATAAGCTTAAAAGAAGAGACAGTTATGTTAGGCAGACAGAATCACATGGACCTCCTGGTACGAGCAGATAAACCCGAAAGGCTGCCTGATGCGGTTACCTTCCTCGCCAGCAGCGGCCTTGGCGGGCATCCTGTTGATGGTCCTCTGAGTGCGAGGGGCAGGCTTGGCTTTGTTGGCCTGTTTGGAGATGAGCTTTATAGGAATTCGTCTGCGCACGTCAAGACCACCAAGTGATCCAGAACTGTTAGTGCCTTGTAACTCATTGTCTGTTAGAAGGGGGGAAAAAGCATAATTTCATTTTGGTTTTCTTTTTTAAGACTATCCTGCCATGGGTATCAATACAACATATACAACAATATCAAAGATTAGAAAACTGGGTTATGATTTTTACATATTGTATTGGTGTAAGTTTAACCAATCATTTTTTCTATTTTGGCGAAACCCTTAAAACTGTACCTTTAACCCTTTTTGATACAGAAACCCCTTAAAATACAATAAATGACATAACCTAAACAATAAAATTTCTGTAAAATTCGAGAAGAATTACAGAAACATAAAACCCTTCATAAATCTAAGGCAAGAACCTCTGTCTTTAAGTTAAAGAGACTAAAGGAGAAAGAGAAAAGTATCAAAACTACCCTTACTTCCACATCTGACACCAAGCATATAACGCAAATACTCAATAAATTTGAAAAACTAACCGTGTTGTCAGGATAACTGAGCGCAAACACAAACACTAGCGAAATAACCAATGAATCGGAAAATGTAAGTACATTTTAAGGAAAGTGATTATTTCCTAAAATGTAAGACAGGTTTTCTGAAAAGCACCTGGAGTATGGCAACAATTATCACACCAGTTAGTAGCACAAACAAGTGTTAACTGCCTGTGCTGTAACATTTCTAGGGCTACATATGTGTCTCAGTTACTCTGGGCACTGAATGGGAAACCCTTGCTCAGGAGGATACAGGGGCTCCACACTTGAACTGGGGCCAAGTAAGTAACTGACTTTTCTGATTCTGAAGTCTGGGCTCGTATATCACCTATGAAACCAACACTCAAGTTCTCTGATGGGAGAACAACTGAACACAACTGACTCCATCACAGCCACCACAAGCCTGTCGGCTGCCCTTTCTCCTGCACAGCAAGATACGACAAAGAGAAACACTGTCCCTCCAACACCACAAAGTTTTTTGATGGCTTTGCCTTTGGGAATGATGCAAATAGCCACCCCCATGACTTTGGAGTCCTTTTCACAGCAGTCTGGACACGACCTGGAAGAGCCTGCAGTTTAACGTTCTGCCATGTGCCCCATAGGGTGCAAGTTCACACAACATTTCACAGTGAATGACAACTTTCTGGGTTTGTTTCCATTACAAATCAGAACATACAACACAATTCCCTTTTCAATACAGTAATGGAACGCAAAGCCCATAACCATAAAAAGTCTTTGAACATTATGCAGAAAGTGAAAACTAAGAGTAACTGGCCATTCAAGGAGAGGCCATTTTAAAAAAGCATATTACTTTTACAAAATATGATTTTTCTTTTTTTTAACATTTTATTATTATTATCATTTTATGATGCAGTTAATTATATGATTTTTCTAAAAAGATTCAGGGCTTTATTTTGAAAGAGCTGTGAATATCTCAAAGTTTGTGTAAATCTTACAAAGTGTTAATTCGAGAAATGAATCAATTATTAATTGGGAGGCTCTTGGAAAAATTTACACAACAAGTCTATTAGAAAACGTTTCTTCAGGGCATGGCACAGTAGCCTAGTGGCTTAGGTGCTCGCCTTGCATGCGCTGGGATCCCATGTGGGTGCCAGCTCATGTCCTGGGGGCCCACTTTCCTTCCAGCTCCCTGCTTGTGGCCTGGGAAGGCAGTGGAGGATGGTCCAAAGCCTCGGGACCCTGCACCAGTATGGAAGACCCAGAAGAAGCTGCTGGCTTTGGATCAGCACAGCCACTGTAGAAGCTTGGGGAGTGAATCAGCAGATGGAAGATCTTTCTCTCAGCCTCTCTCTCTGTATATAATAAAAGGGAAACTGCTGACATTTAAAAAAAAGAAGCAGCAAAAAAAAAAAAAAAAAAAAAAAAAACCTTCAATTTCCATTTGAGCTTTCCAGCATTATCTTTAAAGGGGCCATTTCTGCATAATATGCAAATGTTTCATCAGTCTTCCCAAAGGCTTGAAATGAGCCTTTTCAGCTGCTGCTTCTGCTGGAAGTCTTCACTCATCTAGCTAACAGGCACTTCTTTGCCAAAAGCACACACACAGGTGTGTGCGTTTGTGTCAATTACAGCTCTCAGGAAAAGTTTCACTTTTTCTAGGTCTGTAACTTCACATCAAACAACCTGATACTAGATTCTGATAGGGAACAAGGATATTGGCTAATGAACAAATATATATTTAAAAAAAAAAAAGGAAGGAAGGAGCTGGGGGAGATCTGAAAGGGAACTCAGTGGCCAGCTGTTCAGCTCTCTTTCATTGTAAGATAACATGACCTCCTCAGGCAAACTCAGAAACTGAAATAAGTACTGTTATTTGACATACCCACCCATGCAACAATTTTCTAAACTAGCAGCCTCTGTGCTGTTGCGGGGACTTGACTCCCAGCTCTCAGAAGAGGAATATTCTAGCTAAACTTCCATGTTTGCTTCTCTAGTATCAAGTTTCAACTCCAGGACATTTCCAAACACTGGGGTCCCCTGCAGCCTGATTCTCCTGTGGGCTTCCCCGGGTCACTGTGGAGGGCTTTCACACACGCGCACAGGCATCAGCGAGAGGGAACTGAGTCTCAAAGATCTGCTTCTGTTGGCCAGCTTTCCCTTGAGCAGCTAACTTTCCCCTCCCTAAGCCTCACACACAGGTCACACTTAGCAATTCAAAAGCAAACTTTTGTGCCCAGGTTCCTGTATCCCTGAAGAAGAGAGAAAGAGAGAGAGAAAAAGAAAGAAAGAAAGAGAGAAAGAAAGGCCTCAACTCTAACATTCATTATTACCAAGCTGCTGAGGCCAGAAGCTGACACTTCCTTTTGCTGCCAGATTCCCAAACAACACATCCACACAAGTTGAAGTTCCACCACAAAGCTATGCCACCTACCTACTCTTCTTCCTTTTCACTACACGAAGCCACCTTCACTAAACCAATCCTCCTTCAGGTTTATTTCATCATCTCCTAAACGTTCTATTTCCTATTCTAGCTTTTTTCCCTTACACTGTTCTCCATGGGGGTAGCGGCGATTATAGTTGCGGAGCGTGTCCTATTCAATGGCCTCATATTCGCTTAAACTGAAGGGTTTTTGAAACAGCCTGTAAAATCCGGAAGCACGCTGCCTCCGCCTGCCTTCTGCAACTCCTCTTAGGGCTCCCCTCTCCCCCTCCTGCTCCCTGGGCAATGCAGAGGCCCTCTCCGCTGCAGAGGCTCTGCCTCCACCGCCGGCTTCCTCTCACTCCCCAGGCCTCTTTCCAAAAACACCAGGTCCGAGGGAAAACTTCCTACCAGCCTCTCGGTAGCAGCTGGTTATCTACTAAGGTATGTAAACATTTAGTTTTGTTTCCTAAAACACTGTCTACCTTCCCCACAAGGATATCGGCAGAGACCGGGCCCTCTTAGGGACCACTGCACCTGCAGGCCTGCAGGTACCAGGAAGTGTCGGCTATAAACAAACGCGCGCCCGCGCGCGCCACTACCAACAAGACACTCCGGTAGATTAACTTGATGCAAGCAGGCGTCCAATCAACGCATGAAAACGAGGAAACGCCTTCCCCACCCAGCCCATACCCCCTGCCCCGCTACTGGTGCTCGGGCCGGTGTGGGGACGCAGCACTTTTGAGACGACAAAGGCGCTCTCATTCACTGTCCGAAAGCGGAAGCCGGGATACACACACACACACACACACACACACACACACACACACACACATCCATAACAAAGGGTGGAGCCACTCCGACTTGGGAGAGAGGAATGAGGGCGCCTTGGTTTTCAGACCTTCCCTTTGCAAAAGCTCAGGATGATCAGGGAGGAGGACCACGGCCGGGGCGCGCCGGGCACGTTCAAGGGCTCAGGTCTGCACGCTGCTCTCCGATTTAGGATTCCGAGAATTCTGCTGCGGCTCCCCTTTCCAGAGAACGTCTCGGGGTTACCCCGAGGAGCGCACACGGACAATACCCGGCATCGGAGGCGACCGCCGCCAGCACTCCGCCCCCAGCCTGCCCGTCCCACTCCCAACGCTCGGGCTGGGAGCTCCTAACCGCCACAGTGCCCTGCCACCCGCACCCCGTCCCCGAGGGCCGCAGCACCCCGGGCCGAGCCCCCCGCAGCTCCGGGACGGCTCCGAGGACGCGGGTACCACCCGGGGAAGCACAGGCCGGGCAGCAGCAGCAGCAGGCCCCCGCCGGGCCCGGGAAGGGGGCCCCTGGGCGGACTTGTTTCTCACCGCCACCTTTCACAGTGCCGAGGGGCAAGAGGAATCCCACCTCTCCCTTATGGTCTGCCGGGAGACCAGTCCCCACGCCGGCCCCGGGGGGCATCAAACAGGGACCCCCGGTGCCTCCGCCTCCTTACCACTGTGATCCATGATTCGGCTCGCGGGGCACAGTGGGAGCGGAAGTCGGCCGCGCCGGAGTCGCAGCGAGCGCGTGCGCACTGCCTTCCGGGAAAAGCCCCCGTAGGGGCGGAAGTGCGACCAGGTGAGGCCCTCCCGCCTCCCCCCCGCCAGCTGTGGCCGCGGCCAGTGCTTGTCCGGCCTGCACTACCGCATTCCGGTGAGCAGTGGCGGGGGCGGGCAGAGCCTGGGTGCCGATGGGCCTCCCAACAGAAAGTAGGCTGTAAGGGTGGAAAGGACACCCGGCTGGGACGGGAGGGTGCCGGGGAAGAGAACCCTAAGTGGGGGAAGGAGTGTGTGAGCTCGCGACAGGTAAGGCTGCAGCGGCGGCCCCGCCCCCGGCGGAGCGTGGCCTTCTGGGACTTGTAGTGCGGCGCGGACCTGGACGCTCACTGCGCAGGCTCGGCCGTTGGGCTTGGCCCCACCCCGGCGGGCTGGGAAACGGTTGGTTAGGAATCCGCCCCCCAACGCTCCCCCCATCCCCGGGGTCCTCGGCGCACAGGAGTCCTGCAGCCGGTGTCCTGGAGGCATCCTCGGCTGGGAGACGGTGCTCAGGGAGGACACCCGCCAGCCAGAGGGAGACAAGAGAGGACGGGGGCGGTGCGCGCATTGTCTACATGCTGTGTTTGGTCGTGCCCGGCTGCGCAGAACCGTGGCGCACGCACTTGGTTATCCTGTCGCCCTCCCACCCAGCCGATCCCCCACTACGTCTGAAGTTTGAAACTCAAAGAGTCGGACTAGTAGTGCTGCCTACGCTTGGGGCTGCACGCTCTCCCAGGAGGGCTGGGAACGGGGTGGCCGGGCGCGCGCCATCGCCTCTTAGAGGGGACACCTTTGGGGCGCGCGGCGCAGTGGCGCTGTAGGAAGCAAGGGGTGAGGGGAGCGCTCCCAGCTAAGGTTCTACAGGGAAGGCCTCCACAGCGAGGAAGGGAGAGAGAGGTCGCCCCACAGGCAGGTACCTAGTTCCAGTTCCTGGTCCCAGGGGTTTGTGCTGGCCGCTTTCATCTTCTTCAGCACCAGACGAAAGCGTGCCCAGGGTCTCGAGGCGTGTGGACGTCCACGCCGCGGCCTCCACCTGGCCCACTTGGCTCATCGGGGTCCGCACTCCTTCCTGCAACCCCCCCTTTTTCCACCTGATGCGCTCAAATGAGCGGAGAAGGGAGCACAATTAGTGCCAAACACAAGCTTGGGAGCCGAGGGATTTGGGTTCTATTCTGGTCGTCCCTCGGTGACGACATCCTTTACCTTGGCGTTGTTCACACTTTGAGTGCCAGGGTCCTCGGCTCCGATGGCTGCGCCGTGCCGGGGCTGGAGCAGTGTGGGGCCGTGGGTTGCGGCTGTATGGTTTGTACAGTAACAGCCGCAAAGAGTGCGATCAGGACTGAGTGCCATTTTACTGAGACCTTTTAAAAAGCCCACATCTCCAGCTTCATAAATGAATGGCTAGGTGTTTTCACAAGTAGGGACCTTTACTAATTACGTGACACTGCCTTTTGTTAACGTGGCCCGGTAGGTTTTAAAAAGGCTTTCCCTTGCTGGGATTAAGGGAAACTTAGGTCTCACACCTCCCTATGTATGCTCCTAAGTTAGGCAGGTGTTGTTTGTTTGTTTGTTTGTTTGTTTTCCAATTTGTGGTTCTATAGGAAGGTAGATTCCACCAAAAAGGTGTTGTTTGGAGGGGGCGTTGTTTGTTTGTTTTTGTTTTTGTTTTTTTACCCTATCCCAGTTCACCTAGCAGTTAAACTTGAGATTGGTAACAAGGAAGCAAGGACCCGTGTAAATCATGAATGGCCGCTTCCTCAAGGTAGGCATTTCCATGTGGGTGGCAGAATGTTGAACTTGTAACTGGTCCTGGAGAACCATCCTGCTGTCATAAGGTGGGATAGTGGGAAGGGAAAGAAAGGAGGGAATCCCTATACCTACAAAACTGTATAATGGAAATAATAAAAATAATGAAAATAATGTTAAAAAAAAAAAAAAGAAAACTGGTGACTGGTGTCGTGGCACAACGGGCTAATCCTCTGCCTGCAAGCACCAGCTTCCTGTTGTGGGCACCCACCGGTTCCGTCCAGCTTCCTCCTCATGGCCCCGGGAAGGCAGCAGAGGGTGGCTTAGGAACCTACACCCTTGTGGAGGCTCCTGGCTTTGGATTGACTCAGCTCTAGCTATTGTGGCCATTGGAGTGTGAGCCAGCAGGTGTAAGATCTTTGTCTCTGTTTCTCTATAAATCTGCCTTTCAAGTAAAAATAAATTTTTTTTCTTTAAAAAAAGATGGGAGTCAGCAACTTCCTATGAGTCTAAAGTAAAAATATGTAGAGAAATTTTAAAAGACCAGCAATTGTAAGAATACTTTAAAAGGCCCGTATAACCGTGTCTTGAGCCTTGAGAGGGAATACAGTGCTGCCGTACCATCTGAGGAAGTGCTGAGCAGCGGGGCTGAGAGGGCTGGGTAGGCCTGCTGGAGGGATGGAAGCTGCACCCTGATGAACAGGTGGGGCTTTGGAGGCGAGCACTGACGGGTGTACTGCACGGAGCAGGGGCAAGAAGCAAGAGGTGCGAGAACTGTGGTCAGCGGGAAGGCTAGGATCAGTTTGACTTCTGTCAATCCAGTTATGCAAATACCAGAAAATGAAGTACAATTGCAGAGGACCTTTAACAAGTAACATTTTGCAGCCATGGTTAAGAAGTATACAGTTCATCAGCTCTTTTTTTCCAGGCTGTTAGCAGGGAGCTGGCTCAGAAGTGGAGGAGCTGAGACATGAACCAGCACCCCTGTGAATGCCAGCGTCACAGACAGTAACTTTACATGCTGTGCCACAATGCTAGCCCTCAGAGGTACTTACACACCTAAGCATCACAGGTCTTACAAAACAGAGCGGTTAAGTATTACTTTGTTTTTTTAATATCTTACTATGAAATTTTAATAGCTACAAAAAAGTAGTTTAACAAAAGCCAGAAAAGGGTTCTGGCATAGGGGCTCAGTCAGCTGCTCCTCCCCATCAAGCACCGGGATCCCAAATAGGAGCTAGTTCATGTCCCAGCTGCTACGCGTCCCAACCAGCTGGTGGCCTGGGAAAGCAGTGGTGGGTGGCTCAAGTCCTTGGGCCCCTGGCACCTAATGTAGGAAACCCAGAAGAAGCTCCTGGCTCCTGGTTTTGGATCAGCTCGGCTCCAGCCGTGGCAGCCATTTTGGGAATGAACCAGCAGATAGAAGATCTTCATCTATTTCTCTGTAAATCTGCCTTTCCAAGAAAAATCTTTAAAAAGCTGCTCCTTCTACCCCTCACCCCCCAAAAAACACCTCAATAATGTTCTCTGAAACTATCAATCTGTACTTAGAAATATCAGTATTGGGTCTGTCATATTTATTTTAAAAAGCTAGCTTTGTATATTCATATCAACAGCACAGTCCAATGAGCTATCTTTAGAAATAATGAACAAATCTTACGTTTGAAAAGGGGGAAAAAATGAATGAGTCCTGTTAGACCTAAGAGAAGTCAAAGTAAAAAAAAAAAAAAAAAAGCAAGAAGCCAGCAGCATCTTGCATGGCCAGAACAGTAACATCAGGGCAGTGCCCGCTACGTAGACGCATTTTGTTGCACGGAAATGGGTGAGAATGGCAGCACTATAGCAAACTTGTGGCAGCCACTGTCTCAAAGTCCTCCAAACCTGCTGAAGAGGCACATTCCAGAAGTAGGCAGAGAAGACGGCTCTCATGGCCCTTGCTACCCAGAGGCCTTTGCCCACCCCTTTCCTTGAGCGCCGTGCATCCTGGGGAACCGCGGCCATTTGCAGCGGTGCCCTTTGGTCTGTGCTCCTGCAGCCTTCGTTATTTTCTGACTCTTCTTTTGCAGTAGGTAGCATTTGCATTGGTTAGGCCTGATCCTCCCTATTATTTTTTCCTGCTAAGGCACTCCTGTTTGTTTTGGGTCTCCCATTTTTCAGCTCACTCCTGAAAGAATGCTTTTCGGGTATTGCCATGATTTGCATGTGCCTTGTTCGCTGCAAAGATTCATATGCTGGAGGCACAGCATCCAACACGGGAGGGGTGGGAGGTGGCGTCTTTTTTTAATATGTAATTTTTTAAAAATTATTTTTGGTAATGATTACATGGTTGATCAGGATGGGAAGGATCCAGGGTTAGGGAAAAGTGGGTGTAGCCATTGTTTCCAAATTTTCTATTTCTTCTTGTTTCTGGGGGAAGGAGAGAGTTAAAGGCCCCAACCTTTGCTTTAGTGTGATTATGCCAGCTCCAAGTCTCTCCCATGTGCCAGTACTGCAGACTGACTTTTAAAGGTCTTCCCATCACTCCCTGCAAAGCACTCAGTCTCAGCACACTTGCCTACCTTAAAGTACAGTGGCCTTGTACTCATTCCTCTCCTAGACACGAACCCTGAGGTTCCCGCTCAGCCTCACTCATGCCACAGCCCATATCCCGGGAGTCCCTAGAGCATATGGCCACGTAGCGGCCTGAGGGCTTCCCCCAGCACCATTGGCACCCGGACCGCCCAGTCCGGAGTCACCTCTGCTGCCACCGCCAACTGAGCAAGAGGACCCCAAGCAGGCCCCCTGAAGACGCCTGCTACGCCTGCCGAGCAAGAGCGATCAAGGTCTGGTGGTGGTTTTTTGGTTTTTGGGTTTTTTTGATGATGTTTACGTAGTTGAGAAGGATGCATGCCCATCAGGACCACCGATCAGGGTGGGAAGGATCAAGGATTAGGGGAAAATGGATGAGACTGTTTCCAATTTAATTTTTCTTCTTCCTGTATCTGGGGGAGGGAAGTAATAAGGGGAAAAGCCACCCAGCATCCTAACTACATCAGTGTCTGGGAATGGAGAAGCGACCTCCTGATGTCTTGCCAAGATCCCCGATGTGGAGCACACACCGAGGATTCTGCTCAGGTGGTTTCAATAATTCTGAAATGTTGTCAATCTTGCCTATCCAAGTCTGAGGAAATCCTCCTAAGGCCCATTGGCTGACATAGTTCACCTTAGAGTCTCCATTCACCCAGATATTTGCTGTGAACACTTGGCTGGGAGAGTTAG